TTACACCGCTGTCCAAGATAAGGAGGAGGTTTTGGCCCTAGCAAACATGTTTAACCCCGCAACACTCTGTATGTACCTGTCCAAAGTCGGCAGGAGCCTATAATTCAGTGGTTGTAGTTTCTTGCTGTACATCCTATTTGTTTTTTGTTTGTTATTGTTTTGTACATAAACCAGGCTATAAATTTTCTCGTTTGAATTGTTTTACATTTGTCATTTCGTATCTTTTATAGCTTACTACGTGGTATGGGTTTTGATCATTGTTGAAGTTTGAACAGCAATCAAACCACATCTTTTTATTTTATATACAAAACATTCATTGTCAATAAACCATGACTGAAGGTTCAGGGCCAAAAATCTCCATTGAAATTATACACTCAAATAACTAATACAACTGCATACTAAATATAATTGACTCACTATTAGTGGTTCATGATAAACTGATCTAATCACCAAATTTAGCATGTAAACTATGCAAATGTTCAAAGTTAATAGAGCATGGCTAGGGGGACGGGGCTTAATAACCTCCATGGACTTTTCTCACTTCAGGCAAGTGACTTCGTACTTTACTTGTCTGAAAGAGAAAGCCACTTGTCCAAATTGTATTTGCTTAATTAATTCTAATGGAGCTACCATTTGATTTTTATAGGGGGGGGGTCCATAGTACATGGATGCCCCACTCACACTATCATTTTCTATGTTCAGTGGACCGTGAAATTGGGGTCAAAACTCTAATTTGGCCTTAAAATTAGAAAGATCATATCATAGGGAACATGTGTACTACGTTTCAATTTGATTTGACCAAAAACTTTAACCTGAAGCGGGACAGACAGACGGACAGACGAACAGACGGAAGCACAGACTGAATAAAATGCTTCGCTGGGCGCAGCTTGATACGACCGCAGAGGTCGAACCCTGAACAGTTGGGGCAAGTATGGACACAACATTCAAGCTTGATACAGCTCTGAATTTGGATTGAGATTAAATATTTGACACAGCATAGGTTTCTGACACAGAAAGAATGTGGTCTAAGAACTTCAATTTTTTTATTTACCTATTATGGTCCAATGTCCAAAATCAAAATACATGGTTAGATTCAGCATATCAAAGAACCCCATATATTCAATTTTTGTTGAAATCAAACAAAGTTTAATTTTGGACCCCAACTTGGACAAACTTGAAAACTGGTCCCATAATCAAAAATTCGTAAGGGTTCCACGGGACCCAGTGTCTCGCCTACTTTTTGCTGTTAATCACAGGCTCAGCAAAAATGAGGAAAAAAATTAATAAAAATATTCCTCTCTATACTATCTTTTGATTGTAAGTAGCTTCTGTCCAAGTTTGGTAAAAATCCAGGATAGTTTATGAATCTAATAAATGTTTTAAAAACTTAAACTGCAGACTGTATGTAATGTTAACTGGAAGAAAAACTAAGTCCATTTATAAGTAAAATACGGAAAAAATGGAACAAAATTTCATTCTAGATACTAGCTTTTAATCATAAACAAGCTTCTGTCTAAGTTTGGTACAAATCCAGGATAATTTTAAGAAAGTTGTTAAAATTTTAAAAACTTTTAACCACAGAGTGAATGTAATGTTAACTGGCAGAAAAACTAAGTCAATTTATAAGTAAAATACGGAAAAAAATGAAGTTTTTTTTTAACAAAATTTACTTCTGGATACTAGCTTTTAATCATAAACAAGCTTCTGTCCAAGTTTGGTACAAATCCAGGATAGTTTAAGAAAGTTGTTAAAATTTTAAAAACTTTAACCACAGAGTGAATGTAATGTTAACTGGCAGAAAAACTAAGTCCATTTATAAGTAAAATACGGAAAAAATGGATTTTTTTTTTACAAAATTTACTTCTGGATACTATCTTATGATCATAAACAAGCTTCTTTCCAAGTTTGGTAGAAATCCAGGATAGTTTAAGAAAGTTATTAAAATTTCAAAAACTTTAACCACAGAGTGAATGTAATGTTTCCTGGCAGAAAAACTAAGTCCATTTATAAGTAAAATACGGAAAAAATGGATTTTTTTTTTTACAAAATTTACTTTTGAATATTATCTTATGATCATAAACAAGCTTCTTTCCAAGTTTGGTAGAAATCCAGGATAGTTTAAGAAAGTTATTAAAATTTCAAAAACTTTAACCACAGAGTGAATGTAATGTTTCCTGGCAGAAAAACTAAGTCCATTTATAAGTAAAATACGGAAAAAATGGATTTTTTTTTTTACAAAATTTACTTTTGAATATTATCTTATGATCATAAACAAGCTTCTGTCCAAGTTTGGTAGAAATCCAGGATAGTTTAAGAAAGTTATTAAAATTTCAAAAACTTTAACCACAGAGTGAATATTAGTGGACGCCGCCGACGACAACGACGACGACGACGCCGACGGAATGTAGGATCGCTATGTCTCGCTTTTTCGACAAAAGTCGAAGGCTCGACAAAAATCTAAACACATGTTTAGATTTAGCATATCAAAGTACCCCAAGAATTCAATTTTTGTTAAAATCAAACTAAGTTTAATTTTGGACCCTTTGGACCTTAATGTAGACCAATTAAAAAAAAACGGGACCCAAAATTAAAAATCTAAAAACACGGTTAGATTTGGCATATCAAAGAACCCCAATAATTCAATTTTTGATGAAATCAAACAAAGTTTAATTTTAGACCCTTTTGACCTCAATATGAACTAATTTGATAGCAGGCCCACAAATAAAAAATCTAAATACATGGTAAGATTCAGCATATCAAAGAACCCCATATATTCAATTTTTGTTGAAATCAAACAAAGTTTAATTTTGGACCCCAATTTGGACCAACTTGAAAACTGGGCCAAAAATCTAAAATCTAAATACATGTTTAGATTCAGCATATCAAAGAACCCCATATATTCAATTTTTGTTGAAATCAAACAAAGTTTAATTTTGGACCCCAACTTGGACCAACTTGAAAACTGGGCCCATAATCAAAAATCTAAACACATGTTAAGATTCAGTATATCAAAGAACCCCAAGAATTCAATTTTTGTTAAAATCAAACTAAGTTTAATTTTGGACCCTTTGGACCTTAATGTAGACCAATTTAAAAAACGGGACCCAAAATTAAAAATCTAAATACACGGTTAGATTTGGCATATCAAAGAACCCCAATAATTCAATTTTTGATGAAATCAAACAAAGTTTAATTTAAGACCCTTTTGACCTCAATATGAACCAATTTGATAGCGGGCCCACAAATAAAAAATCTAAATACATGGTAAGATTCAGCATATCAAAGAACCCCAAATATTCAATTTTTGTTGAAATCAAACAAAGTTGAATTTTGGACCCCAATTTGGACCAACTTGAAAACTGGGCCAAAAATCAAAAATCTAAATACATGTTTAGATTCAGCATATCAAAGAACCCCATATATTCAATTTTTGTTAAAATCAAACAAAGTTTAATTTTGGACCCTTTGGACCTTAATGTAGACCAATTTGAAAACTGGACCCAAAATTAAAAATCTAAATACAAGGTTAGATTCGGCATAACAAATAAATAAATGTGGTCAAAGATTTTATAAATCTAATGCGCCATACTGGTCTTCCTTTATAAATATGCATTTCTTTAAACATAATTTAAAAGCAGTGTAAGGGAAGTAACCAAAACGTTGTATTTGGATTACCTCCCTTACACTTATCTTAATTGTTCATTAACCATTACTTTATACATAATTTAAAAGCAGTGTAAGGGAGATAATTTCAATGATGTATTTGATTTATCTCCCTTACACTGCTTTAAATTATGTTTTGTACTAAAGTATTTGTCCATTAATGAGGACAACCTTTTTTTTCCCCCTTTTTTGCCCCTAATTCTTAAACAGTTTGAGCAATAACCCCCAAAGCAAATCCTAACCATCCCTTTGTGGTATGGAAACTTGTAGTATAATTTCAGAGAGATCCATACACCGTTCCACAGTTATTGTCTGGAATCTAGAAAAGGCTTATATTTGGCCCCTAATTCCTTAACTGTTGGTACCATAACCCCCAAAATCAATCCCCACCTTCCTTTTGTGGTATTGAACCTTATGGTAAAATTTCATAGAGATCCATTCACTTTAACTAAAGTTAGAGTGCGAAAACTAATGCGTCTTCAGACGACGACGACGACGATGACGACAACGACGAAGACGCCAACGTCATACCAATATACGACCACAAAAAAATTTTTGCGGTCGTATAAAAACAAAATGCCCCTAGGTGGGGCATAAAAAGCATGTTTTCGGATACTTTTTTTAACTTAAAATAATCTTGAAGAGGATAGGACTTGGTTAGTCTATCTAGGACTCGTCCAGCAAATGCACAGGTTCCTGGTATGGCACTTCCAGACAGAAATTATGCATCCAGGCGGCATATAAAGGATTTAAGGAGAACCTTGGGTATTTTTTACCACAAATAAACCTTTCCAAACAAATGAGTGACTGAACATGAGAGATTTAATTTGTTTGAATATTTTTTTATATCATTGCTTATACATTTGTTTGAGATTTAAAAATCTACATTAAGGTGGTCTCAGTTTTTTATTCTTGGGTCTCACCTTCTTAAAGAGTTTTCCTAAAGTAGCTAGGTCTCATATGATTGGTCCATCAAAATGTGTGTCTACAATTGAATCGTACTCTGATTTACCAATATTATTGAATCAGCTATACCGGTAGTTAAAAAAAACCGAAAATATGGGTTCTATCAAAAATCAATCAATTTGATGATATTGTCATGGCTGATTGAGATGATGATTTTTATTGATAAAAAGAGAATAATTGAGGCTAACTTCAGTATTTCTCCATGCTTTCTGACATTTATTTTTTACTTCCCCATCCAACAAGTACACTGCAGTTTTTACTTGCCTAAGAATGACTTTCACTTGTCACTGGCAATTGGACAACCTTTAAAGTCGAACCCTGGTTATTGTTATGTATTAAAAAATAATCATTGTGCATGGCTTAAATAGATCTGATATTTAAATTTTTTTAATAGGTTGACAATGGCAGACAATTTAAATACATTAACACCAAGTGATTGCAATACATATACATACATGCTGGCCCACAATGGCGCCCAGTAGAGCTATTTTTATATAAGTCATCCTCAATTATACACATACACAATGATACATGTATTTAATATTTGCCCATACATTGGACAGCAATTTAAATTTTTAACAAACATGTACGTACATTTGAGGTGTGTATATTGCTTATTTCATATTTCTTTGATCATACTGTCTGAGCATACGAAATTCAGTGTTAATTTTGTAAACAACTAGGTATACTCTGTCATTAAAAAACAAATCTATCTTAATTGGGCCTAAATCAATATATTGTTTGTTTCCCCAATCCCGACCCTACCAAGCAGGTGTGGGTAGGTAGGTAGGGAAATAATTTTATTTTTCCAAAAAGCTTGAACATTATCGGATGATCCGGCAAGCCTGAAAATCGGCAATGAATAAAATAATATTTGACTAAGTTTTGACAATAAAATTTTATGAGTAGGACCATTTTTGCAGGGTCGGTCGGGATTGGGGAAACAAACAATATTTTATTTTAGGCCTTGTTATGCCATACATTTGTATTAATTTGACTGACATAAAAATCATTTTAATGTTACACCAAATTTGAAATAGATTTTTATCAATGTAATTTTAATATCTATGACAATTGATTGATTTTTCCCAACATGACAAGACATGAATGCCATTAACAATGAATTCCTTAGCTTGGTAATAAAATACTGTTATAAGGCTGAAAGCTAACTGGACCCACTATTTATCTTTGAATTATTGTTTATCTGAGTAGTCTTGTAGAACACCATCCAAATGTTCGTTTAATTTCTTAAATTTGTTATTTTTCTTTCCCTTCCTTCGTTTCTGCGAATGTACTACTTTCTTAATGTTAACATCTTGCATAGAGGAAATTCCTTGTTTGTCCAAGTATTCTTCAATTTTCCTCTCATCCATGCCTTCAACAGACACACCTCTCCATAGTTTCTGAAATTCTTCATCCACACTGTAACGACAGTATTTATCATTATAAAATAAAACTTTCTTTTTGTCATGTGGACGTACTACATATACAATATTGTCTCCCAGATTTTTCATGCACTTCTCAGCCCTCGGTAATGCTTCTTCTATATCTTCCTGAAGAATTCCTCCAAGTCCATGGAGATCATGCTTCTTTAACAAATTTAGTAAGCCTTTTTTGTCTCTTATATCGTAAGACGGATTGAACAAGAATTTTTGATCATTTCCGAAATTAAGTGTTTTGATTTTGGGATTGTTTTTTAAAGCTTCTGTTAACAACCAATGTCTATGTTTTGTTGGGACATCTAACTGATTTGTCTCGTCCAATATATCGTCCAATGTTAAACCATGTGATTGTCCTTCTTGATGTCTTGTCTTCATGTATTTCACAATCTTAGCAAGTATTCCAAATTTATATTGAGAACTACCATGACTTGTTTTATAGTCGAATGGAGTTTTGGACACAGATGCTCCATTATTTATTTTCTGTTTTGATGATGAAGATGATTTGTGTTTTTTGGAAGAATGAGAAGAAGTGTCTGCATGTTTTCTTTTTTCTACAGCTGGCTGTGCCTTTGCCCTGTTTATGAAAGCAGCTCTCTCTTTCAGAAGTGCGGGATCCATACCGCTTAAAGTGTCTGTATTTACTACAAGAGGCATAAACATAAGTTGTTAAAAATTCATATATATATCATTGATATAACGTATATTCTTACTATAACTGAAATATCATCCAGAGTCTACAAAACTTGTGAATAAAATTAAATAAAACAGAAAAGTTCTATGAAATTTCTGCCATCAACACCAAATTCTTCAAGTAACAAAAACATGAAGATATGAAATAAGACAACAATTGACTATGTTCATGACTTTGGTCAAACACATGAAAATGTGGCAGGTTTAAATCAAGTTTTTTTGAGATATCAACCCTTGCCCTTTTTAAGCACAAATGAAGAACTGGTTCATATCCCCCCAAAAATTCTTGAAGAATCTAAATAATTACATGTCTTCACAAGAATCACAAGTGACCTGTTGAATTATACCTTGATTTTGCTATCCTTTTATTTTGTAGTCATGCCTGTTATAATGTTATTACCAACCCCAAAAAATCAGTTACTGTATATGTATATCAGGTATTTATGACAAAGATACATGTAGGTCCACAATTCAAGCATGAAATGCACAAGTTTAATGAGGATGACACAAACAAAACTTTGTCCTCTCATGTAATTGTATGTTCATGTATCACCAGGACCTCTCATGCAAATACAAAGAAAGATAAATGCCAGTGAAACATAACATATCCACTAAACCCCAAAGGTATAGAAAAGGATTAGTCTACAAATATCAGTTTGGTAACAGGTTATCAAATAGTCTTCAATAAAGGACCAAGTCTGACCAATACAATAATAAAGTTGATATAAAAATCATGGAATTTCGTGTTGTTGGGTAGGTGTCACATTGTCTTGACTTAAACTTGAAATTTTCTAATATTCATACCTGATGCACGTAAATAAAATGCACATCACTGCTGAATCTGCTTTAATAAAGCAACAATGCATACTTAGTTCAAATTATCCAATTAAAAAAATTTAATCCTTATAGGTTACCATGGTTACTGTACAAATTTAAGCAATCATCCCAAATCTAAGGCCAAAACAAAATATATGTCTGTTTAAGGTTACATCATTAGAATAAATAGGATAGGTAGGTCGGTATTTCCATTTTATTTTTTTTTTCATTTTATTATTCGTGACATGATTTTGATTCATGCGGTCCACCTTGCCTTAGTCAGAGTTGTCCATGGGCCAAGTTTACCCGTATTTTTAATGATTGGATTATTTCCATTGGTTATTGGTTGGGAAAAAATGGCAGCAAAGCATTTATTTCATCACACAGGTCGCCAGTTTCTTAAAACAGCTGTTATATTCATGATAGTGAACATTTACATGTATCCGGCAATTGATTTATTTTATTGGTAACACTAACTATGCCTTTGACACAAATTCAGTTAATTTTTCACTTTAAGACGGGAATAAAATGACTTAGTATCAGCGAACAAAAGTAAAATAGACATATATTTTTTTTTGGCCTAATCATTTTCATGGTATATACCTGTACACTGGATATTTTTCTTCTCCTTAAAAGGCACCAATAATGGATTATTAACTGAAACAGAAGAATAACATTATTTCAACACTGTTTAGTGTTCCCTATATTGTTAAATGAGGTGAGCAAGTTATTGTCAATACATTACTGGGCTTGCTACATGTACAGATGTATGCAATAGACTGTTTTCATATTACTGACTTTTAAATCCGGATTATAAAAATTTTTGACAGGTTGCCTAATCTGTGGTAGGACATCCTGGTACTTGGTCAGGTAAGAGCAACCAAAAAAGTAAATTCAAACATATAATCGGTGCAATTTGGGGGGAAAGTTTACTGTTTTACGATTATATTGTCGTGTATAGAAAGCAAAATAAACTGCTTCGCTGAGCGCAGCTGGATACGCCCGAAGAGGTCCAACCCTGAACAGTTGGGGCAAAAATGGACACAATATTCAAGCTTGATACAGGTCTGAATTTGGATTGTAATTAAATATTTGACATATTATAGGTTTCTGAATAAATGTAGTCAAAGAACTTGAAATTGGTTATATGAATTGAATTTATATTCAATTAAAGATTTCTTGCTGTTGTGCAATACACTGTGATGTTGCGCAAATAAAGTTCAATTAATTCTCAATGTCATATTAGAAATTTATGAAAATGTAAAGGGAGCTTACATCAATAGATATAAACAATTCACCAAAGTTTCATGAGAATTGCTGACAGTATTTTTGAGTTACTGTCCGAAAACTGGAAAATCCCCCCTTTTTTAATGAATAAAACCCCATAACTCAGAAATGATAAATGAAAAATTTATAAAATTCTAAACCGAGCTTACATCAATAGATATAAACAATTCACCAAAGTTTCATAAGAACAGCTGAAGTTCTTGTCCGAAAACTGGAAAATCCCCCCTTTTTTAATGAATAAAACCCCATAACTCAGAAATGATAAATGAAAAATTTATAAAATTCTAAACGGAGCTTACATCAATAGATATAAACAATTCACCAAAGTTTCATAAGAAGTGCTGAAAGTATTTTTGATTTTTTGTCTGAAAACTGGAAAATCCCCCTTTTTTTATGAATAAAACCCTGTAACTCGGAAACGTAAAATCTAAAATATATATAAATTGAAAGGGAGCTCATGTCAATGAAAATAAACAATTCACCACAATTTCTTGCAAGTTGGTGAAAGCATTCTTGAGTTATTGTCCGAAAACTGGAAAATCCCCCTTTTTTTAATGAATAAAACCCCATAACTCAGAAACGTAAAATCTAAAATTTATAAAAAACGAAAGGGAGCTCACGTCAATAGATATAAACAATTCACCAAAGTTTTATGCAAATTGGTTAAAGCGTTTTTGAGTTAATGTCCGACATGTTGACGACGGACAGACAGATGGACAGTCGGACGGACGGACAGACGGACAACGGTATACCATAATACGTCCCGTAAACGGGCGTATAAAAACAGTTAATTTCCCCAAAAAATTGTAATGATTGAAAGCTTGATTTTACTTCTTTACGTTGCTCTTACTTGACCAACTTCCAGCAGAATCTGGGTCCGTTCGCCCTGATTCGCGTTCGCCCAAGTACCTGTTCGCCCTAATTCCTGTTCGCACTTAGTCTGTTCGCCCTTATTTCTATTTTATTTTGTTGTTTTGTATAATATAAATTATTTGAATTAATTATGTACTTTTACCAGATAAAACTGGAAACAAGATCCAACCATGGTAACCTATAAGGATTAAATTTTCTTTAATGAACATGAAATGAACTGGAGACCAAGTTATCTGTATGAATTTATCTTTTTTGAAACCTTGTAACAATTTCAAAATAATCCAAACAGGTATAACAAGATCCAACTCACTCAACACCTGGAGATCAAAGAAGCCAAGCGGCGAAAACAATTTCCCTTTAATGTCTTACAATTCTTACATCATTGTTTTAACTCATTCCAAGCTGACTTGTTTATTTAACATGTTTAAAAAAAAAACAATTTCATTATTAATCCATTAAAAACAATAAATACAACAATCAGTGAGATCAAAGACATCGTAATCATATCTAATCAGCATTCTAAATTACAAAACTTAGAACTTTCGGAAATACTTAGGCTTTTCCACCTCAGAAATATATTACCTTAGCTGTATTTGGCAAAACTTTTAGGAATTTTGGGTCCTCAATGCTCTTCAACTTTGTACTTTATTTGGCCTTATTAACTTCAGTTTTTGATTCGAGCGTCACTGATGAGTCTTTTGTTGACGAAACGTGTGTCTGGCGTACAAAATTTCAATCTTGGTATCTATGATGAGTTTATTTACAATCAACAGTCATTAAAAGTAATTCTGAATAAAAACAAATGTAACATTGAAGCCAATTAGCCTGATAATGATTAATGCTCCAAAACAAAAACTTTTTTTTTAATTTCAATGTTTATTCATGAATTTGGAGATATACATTTTTAATATTTACCATTTAAATATCTGAATAAGATTAAAAATTAAAACTTTAAATTAAACCATTAATATTATTTTTTTTATTAAAAATAGGGCGAACGGACCCAGGGTGAACAGAATCTATGGGCGAACGGACTCAGGGTGAACGGACCCAGGGCGAACATGTAATTAGAGCGAAGAGTAGGTAACCTGTCGAAAATATAAACTCCGGAATCAGGTATGAATTGAAGAGAAAAAACTCAAAGTAGTGTTAGTCCGTGAAAACCATGACATCTGCTAACGTAATCTCTTTGGAGATTCTGTGTCTGGAGCAAATTCTCTGATTTGGCCGCCTCTGAAAATCGCTCCGGACACAGAATTACAAAAGGATTACAGCCATACCGGCTGCTAGTGCTAGAGCAGTGTTTTTCCATTTCAAATTTTATACCACAATAATCAGTTCATTGAAAGTCGTAATTTTTAGTGAAATAAAGTTTATTATTTTTAAAATTGAAAATTGAAAGATTGCTTATAATCAGATTTACTCTGGACTTTAAAAAACCACCTTCCTTTCTTTGATTTCTGCTGTTAACCTTCTTGTATGATATAGGGAGATATGCGTCGTAATGACCAGAAACCAGTATATATATTAGAAAACTGCAGATCAACACCGAGAGAGAGATGGGAATAGTTTCGTAAACGTAATGTAAAAATGAAAAATTCGTGAATTGAAATGCAGGACAAGTTGGATAATATTTTCTGAAGAAAATATGAAACAATTACTGTCGATTTAATGAAATTCAACAAGTTTTAAATATGTATATATATTTTTGAAAGTTAATTTTTCATTTAACATTTTTACAGCGGATGACCGTGAGGGCATTCCGGTGTATTGCTATCACCTAGATTTCCATTACGTAACATTCGTTTTGTGTTTTTAACCGATCTATAAACATGATGAATACGTAGACATCATCAAGTGCAAACTAACATTCCTTATCGCTTGTTATAAATTCATTTCTTCAATGAATACTCATCAAATACTTTTTAAAGAAGATAAATTAACAATATTAAAATGTTTTGTTGTATGTATATACATATAAGTAAAAAATCATTAATATCTATGTACACGCATGCGGAAGAATATCTCAAGAACGTTTGCAATCTCAAGGAACGATAACTCTGCATGGATGATTAAACATTTTTTGCGGGAAAATACGAATGCCTACTCAAATCCATTCTATTAGAAAAATCGAACTATTACAGAAGAGTGTCCACCATGCACTTGCACTGAACTATTATTAATATAGTAGAATAGAATGATATACAAATGCATGAAAATTATAAATACATGTAACTGTAATATACACGTAGTTATATAATATATAACAATAAACCAGAGTATACTGATTTGTATCACTACAATATAATAGTCATTACGGTGAGGTTGAATTCCCTGTCATTAATGAATTTATCATCCACGCACGAACTTGTCCCAGAAAAAAATTATATCTGTACATTAACCTCACTTTCAGGAATAGAGATGTGATTTTTTTTCTGAGACAAGTGCTTGTCGGACCATCCACAAGAACTTACGGTCATCCGATGTTCAGTACTTCAGTACTTTGATTTCTCTTGAAATGACATTGCCGCTAAAAAAAATGGCCAGTCAGTCTGAAAATATTGCCACTAATAAAAGACATCGCCCATCAATTGGTCTTTGTGAGAGCTAAACATTGGGTCATTAAGTCATTGACACTTATAATTATTTGTCCGTGTCAGTGATATTTCATATTGAATAAAAATCAAGCTTTTAATGAGCTGCAGAGGCGCATTCAGACCCGGCACGGCGCACCATCTAAAATCATCCAATACATTATCATTTTTAGGCATAAAACACGTAATTTTTAAGAATTGTTAGAGTGGCTCTTTCATTTACCTGAAACCATAACAACCATGCATGCTGGAACCCCCCCCCCCCCCCCTTTTTGACAAAAAAAAAATGAAAATGAAAGAAAACACTGACTAACTTCTATAATATAAGACTATAGAAAAGATTGTTTTTTTTTATTGGCTTGTAACTTTCAGAAGTTTACCCCCTCCAATTTTTCAGTCTACTACTACGTCACTATATAACGTTGAGTAATTTTATACAACCATGGAATTGAGAATATAGCGAGATACACAGTTGACGGGAGATAATGTTATCTGAATTTATTGGTGACGCATAGGACATAGACAATTTTATTGTTACAATATTTTGAAAAAGAAAATGTAACAATGTCACTGATAAATAAAAAGGTCTCTTAAAAATTGATAATAACATTCTCGAAGAAGTACATCTTTATAGCGAAGTAGCAAAATGGGAACAGATTTTTAGAGCAAACAATCTTTAGTTTTTCAGTTGAAATTCTTTTTGAAGACCCTTTTAATTTTTTTGCTTTCGTTATATATCAATATATCATGCGGCGTTCCAATTTATTAAATTAAAACTTGAAGGCGAATAAAAAGTTACAAAAATCTTCATATAAAAGGTAATTAGCTACAATTTTGACTACAAATTGACTTTTTTTCCAAACATTTATAAAAGACGATGATTGAAACCATGTAAAAATAAGCACCAAAACATCACTGATGTATTATAGGCTTGCGAGTCAATAATTCAACCTCATACGAATCCGTATTCATGGAACTTTGATTGAACATTTTTTGGTGATGGGTTGCGCATGTGCTGAGCATGTTCAGTGCATGATTGAAACCATTAACAGCAGAAAAAAGGTTAAACAAGGGAAGGCAACAACAGGAAGACCGATTTCGTTGATTGATTCGATCCGCAAAAAATAAGTCTAAGGCTTTTCATGCAGGTCAGTAGTGTAGCACCAGTGTAGCACCAGTGTAGTATTGTAATTAAGCATGTGCTTGCAAATAATTTTGTATTTTTCAGTCTACTCCTACCGCCTCCCCCTTTAGACCCCCTGCTTACATTTTATTTTCCAGTGATTACGTCACTGCAGGTTATGAGTACATGATTTGCATTTAATTGATATGTATTTATGTATAAAATGAGACAAACTATACTAGCTAGCCTATAATCCTTAACCCGAATTATTATGTCCTTATACTTATATTACTATTTTATATATATATATATATATATATATATATATATATATATATATATGTAAAAGAAGATATAGACATGCGTGTTCCAAAAGAACGTCAACAGATTTATATATTCCAGTTAGATATTGTCATGGTATGCTATTTTTGACGACTTTTGAGAAAAATAAAATATCGCTTAACAGTTCAATGTTGTAAACAAATACTTATTTTATTGGTGAAATTCATTGCAACCCAAGATTTTTCCATGTATAAAACACGAAACAAGGAGTTGTGGTATGATTAACAATGCGACAACTATCTACCAAACCAAAAGACAAGAGCGTAGACAACTACAGGTCACCGTTTGACCTTCAACGAAGAGCAAAATCCATATAAAAATAATAAAAGGCATATTGATTATTTCATATTCATACGAAATAATTCAAAACCGAAAATTAACGACATATTTTAAGTTGATAGTAAACAACTACAATCACTAGATTCCTGGCTTTGAGCAGGGGCATCAATAATGTGGATGGGTTGAACATCTTTGTGAGCACTTAACCCTTCCCTACCCTGGACAGCTATATGATTAAATGGGAATTATCTGTCAAATTAACAACACAAAAAAAACTCAAACCCTTTAATTTGATTTATTACATACTCAAACATTGACCAGAATTACAAAACTTCCATAGAAAACAATACATAATGCTTGAAATCGTAATAAAGTATCATAATTTCGTTCATATATTAGGACTATACGCCGTCTTATAAACCATCGAGATGACATCATATTATGAAAATAAGGAGATTTCGTATGATTACAAAGGAAACAACTATCCACCAGAGTCTAAAATAAGTGACGTGGATGTAAGCAACTTTATGTAGGTCACCGTACCGTCACTGTAAAATGCCCCGATATGAAAAAATATGAAACAATTCTAGCGAGAAGACCAATGCATGAGATAAAACAAAACAATTAACGAAAAACAAATATGTCAAGTCAGCAAAAATGTTTGTGAGCGTCCAAACCTCCCTCTAACCTGGAATAGTGGTGAAACAACATCACGTAAAATCAAGCTGCAATAAAGACGTCATAAACAGTCTCGGTATGCACGGCCTTGTGCAAGGCCAAAATATCATGAAGTGAATAGTATCGACAGGATGTAGCATCATACGTTTTTATGATTGTATTGCTATCCGTAATTAGTAACGTTTTGATTTATCAAATTCAAAATCAATGTTAGTATCGATAGAACATTATTGTATGAATGTTATAGATCTTACTACGTTGTTAAATTAAAAAAAAAGAATAAAATTATTCTTATATCAATGAGTTTCCCAGGATCGTATCTACATTTAGGGACACTTTAAACAATATCATGGTAAACATTAGGATCCCGTTTTAATTCTAAAAGGTGCAGCTAAACTTCCAAACAAAATCTTTCTGAAGACTGTCGATGTCCATGTAACTTGATATAAAAAATAGATAGACAAGCACATGCAATAGTATAATGACAATTTTCTTTGTCTGTCTGATTAAATGTCATAGATTAAAAAAAATATGTAAGTCATCATTTAATCTGTATAAGAATGATTTTTGTGGGCTAAATCGCCCATCGAAATGTTTTTTTTTCTAGACGTGGCTTCCTTGTTTTATTTTTAAATTTGACATTTTTTTTCTTTTTAACATAAGAATATGCTACGCACATGCGTAAACCATCGCCAACGAAGGGTCTAACCGTTGCATGCAAAATGAGGTGGAATTATGGCCTTTCAATATATTAATATATCAGCGATGCTTTTATCTTAATTTTACAATATTTAACTAAACTGACTGCTAATAGCCAATCATTATTTCAATCAGATTCCGCTTTTTGAAACAAAAAATCGTACTTAAACTTTTTGTCGAAATTGTAGCTTATGACTCTTTAAGATCACAATTCACACGGTAAAGATTAAGGATAAGTTTACTCATAGTACGATACAGAGAAGGGAAAAAGTACAAAAGACACAAAAGTCCGATGGGAATTCATACACCAATCGATATACAGCGCCTCCAGTTGTAGCCGTTTTCAATTTAAAAAAATAGAAATTTGTTATAAATAAATCTAGACAAAACCCTCATTATCATAGCCATTATCATAGCCTGCATAAAGATTACTTCCTTAGATAACACTATTATGCGCAGATACTACGACATTTACAATTATATAGATGTCTTACTTTTAATATATTTTCACACGTATCATATGTTCGTTTCACTCTACTTTCATGATTTATGGTTTGGATCACCGGCCCCCATGTGACAATATAAGATACTGATATATTTCATATACACACTTCGATCAAAACTTCCGCATTGCTCCACGCAGGTGAAAAAGGTGAAATGCATTTAATTTGATAATTATTTCTAAACAATATGGGGAAGGAAACTGAATTGATCAAGGCTGTAAAACACAACGACCAACCAAAATTACAGGTAAGTGAACATGTATTTATGTTAAACGACATGTTGTCAGCATGTTAAGTTAAGTATGTGATTATTTTGCATATCTGTGTCAACCAGGTAGTACAAGTGAGTGAGATATAAATAAAATGTATATTAATCAAGACGGTTTAATTCTAGATCTGGTCACTTTTTTAAATGAAGAGATCAAAACACATAAGCAATATATGATAAGTAAGAACCATTTTATAGCAATGAGGCCTCATGTATAAAAATGTCTATGTACATATTTGTAGAAACTCCTTGTGCCTGAAACGCCAACTTACAATATTCGACGAATTTCCCGGGAGGACCCAAAGTTACCAAAATCACCATCCTCACCCGGAGGTAGAATTCGAATGCAGTTGGATCACATAAATATAAACTGTACTGAAAAAGAAACTGGATATACACCACTTATTATTGCAATACTAAATGGTAACTATTTTTCAAACAACGAATACCAGAAAAATACTGTGTGCTTATACTGTTTATATGTCGATTGTTTCATAGCTTTATTTACACAGAAGTGTTATAACTTATCAAAAGAAAGCATGCCATTTTTCTTATTTCTCTAACAAGCACAGTGTTTAATTTCTATTGTCAAATTAGAAAGATTAAGAAGCTGAAAAATAACTGCAGCTTTGCTTTTTTTTATAGATATAAGAACTTGAGATGTGGTATGAGTGCCAATGAGACAACTCTCCATCCAAGTCAAAATTTATAAAAGTAAACCATTATAGGTCAAAGTACGGTCTTCAACACGGAGCCTTTATGTCTGTTTGACACATTTTATAAGTGGAGACATCAATAGAGTGGAAAAAATACTATTTCATTTTCTAGCATCAGGTTGGTCTTTATTTTAATCTACTCAGGTGAAGGAAGTAAACTTTGGAACAATGTGATTGTGTGTATGGGTAAAATATAATTTTGCATTTATTTATGAAGAACTCTAGTGTGTATATTTCAACCAAATTTTGAAACACATGAACATATTTTCTTGGGAGCTATTGGAACAGCTTCTGAATTTTCATAAATTTGATGTAAGATTACGGCCGGTTGCTATCGAAACGACGAACAAGCCAACTTTTAAGATGGACATACCAACATTTGACTTCAGTTTCTGCACAAAACAATAAAGTTCTTACATCTTATAAGTTATATATAAACTGAATTCATTGCATATATCATCTCTCCCTAAATTGCCCTTAGACAGGTAACAGATCCAATACAATCCCCAGTTTCATTTAACGATCGGACGTTTAATCCGATGCATTGTGTAAAGAGAGTGCCACGATCTTTGCACGTTAAGATCCCTTGCAACAACTCTTTGAGGAGTCCGTAGGTGGCCTGTTGCAAGGCAAAATTTCTGTTCCTTTAAATATACCCTCATTTTCCAGTGGCAGTCCAAATTTCACCGACCTTCATCCATGACGGCCTCTATTACAGGACCTACCTATTGTATTTAATGTCAGTTTGCTCTCGTCCTGAACATACATGACATATTTGCCATTGGACGTTAAGCAACCAACAATCAATCAATCATATAACGATATCATTGTAATTGAATTAACAAATTGTTTATACTTTGAGCGATATACACTATTTCAAGTCAGTGAAACATATTTAACTAATACAGTACTTTTGAAAAAATATGCTTGATTTTTAAATTTATTTCAGAAAACAAAGATGTCACCGATACTCTCATCTTTCATTGTGCTGATGTAAATATTGCTGATCATAAAGGGTGAGCCTCTCCATACTCATATTATATGTAAGGCATTTATTCTCAAATACAAAATGTGTATCACTGTAACTTTATTTTTGTACAAAAATTTGGATAGCACACGCATTTGAATCAGTTTGAAAAATACCCCTTCTCAACCTCCCAAAAAAAGATATAGTAGCTTGAACGTTCCTGATGAAAGAGTTATCAAGTAAGACGCTTGGAACGTACTAATATCGGGTGTGCTTGACCTTGATCATAACAGTGTACCGGAGTATTGACTAGAGATGACGTGTGTAATTTGCTTTCAAGTTATCTCCGACCGTTCGGAAAAACAGACTGGTTAAGCCATTTCAATTGATATTTTATTGTGTGTCTTTCTATGTTGTGATGTTACACTATTGTTTCAGATAAGGGTGAAGGTTTGGTACCATTAAAACGTTTAAACCCGCTGCAATTGTTTGCACCTGTCCTTAGTCAGGAATCTGATGTTCAGTAGTTGTCGTTTGTTGATGTGGTTCATAAGTGTTTCTCGTTTCTCGTTTTTTATATAGATTAGATCGTTGGTTTTCCCGTTTGAATGGTTTTACACTAGTAATTTTTGGGGCCCTTTATAGCTTGCTGTTCGGTGTGAGCCAAGGCTCCGTGTTGAAGACCGTACTTTGACCTATAATGGTTTACTTTTATAAATTTTGACTTGGATGGAGAGTTGTCTCATTGGCACTCATACCTCATCTTCTTATATCTATATATGGTGTATGTAAACGGCTTTCCAAACATTTAACATTGAGCATACATGATGAAATATTCTTCAGAAAACAACTCTTAATTAGAATGATAGTTGTAGTGAATTCGTCTTCATGTAATCTTTTCACTCTAAAATGCTCCAAAAGGTAAATATCGTCAAAAACGTACACCAATGTAAGCACTGTTCCTATCATATTTTGTTATTTCCCTGTATTTCCACGGAACGTTGCATCATGTACACTTTTCTCCCCAATATTTTAACCCACTTCCGCAAATTTATATTTCTTACGGACATACTAGTAGAAAATATACTATGAAGAAAATTCTTGCCATTGATACTTCCTACTTTATCACTTATTGAATGTTTTGTTCTTTTCTTCACGTTTTGTGGTTAAACTATTGTGTTCCAAGGACATGCATCGTCTTTTGTTCATGTCAGTTATCTGATTACAAACTACTTTTTGTTTTCTCTCATGACACAAGTTACACTGCCCGATTTTTTCTTTATATACTGACGAGTGTCATACGATACAGTTTTGATCCCAGTTGTGAATTTTTGACAAAAGTTTGCATACAAACTATTTTTCACCTAGTTAATTCAAATATGTAATAAAAAATATACTTTCATGTGCTACTTTTAGAGATAAATGGGGTCGAAATTTTGGACATTTATTGGAAATTTCGATTTCTTTGACATTTATATCCTTTGGAAAGACATACCTTACTTTTTTGTTTTAAAAGATAAACGCAAGCGGATTTTTGTAAAAACCTTTCGAATATCTTCTCTACATAAGTTTGCTTTGAATTTGTGTAACAATTCTTTGGAAATAATTATTTTTTATCGCATTTTCCTGATTTTATTAAAAAAAAAAACGGCGTTTCTTTCTTTATATTTATCTAATTTAAAAAAAAATCATCCATAAGACGTACGTAATCTTTAAACGTTTCTACATGGTTCGACCGTAATTCACAAAATAATAAAGTTACCTGTGAATCAACTACAATGGAAAGAAAATAAATAAACCCAGATGACAACAGCAGAATGCGAAACTATATATATATGCGATATACAGATTGCTGTTTATAAACAACAAAAGAAATAAGCAAGACAGTCAGGCAAATATAGTACTAAAAACTAAAACGAACCGTTATAAAACAGACGACACCAAATAAAACCTGACGTCATCTCAAAAAAGAGTTTTACACAGATTTTCTAGAGGTGACAAAAACACAAACTATTTATTTATGCTATTTTGATTTTAAAAATATATTATGCATATACTAAACTTTATCAAATGTAGTAAAATGAATATACAGTTTCAAAGTATTTATTATTTTAGAAATACACCTTTACATTATGCTGTTTTTGCTGGGAGGGCTGAACTCGTGGAAATACTTCTACAGAATGGTTCACAGGTATACAGTTTTCTACTCTGTTCACCACATCACTAATTACAGATAAGAAAGGTTTCCAGTTTAAACTTGTTTGTATAATTATAAAAATAAGAAGATCTGGTATAATTGCCAATGAGACAACTCTTCACAAGAGACCAAATGACACAGAAATTAACAACTATCGGTCACCGTATGGCCTTCAACAATGAGTAAAACCCATACCGCATAGTCAGCTACAAAAGGCACCGAAATGACAAATGTAAAGCAATTCAAACGAGACACTAACGGTCTGATTTATGTACAAAATAATGAACGAAAAACAAATATTATATACAGCAACAAACGACAACCACTGAATTACAGGCGCCTGACTTTGGACATGCACATACAGAATGTGGTGGGGTTAAACTAGTTTGCATTTTAAGGACCGCATTTACAAAAAATGAAAAAAAACAGTATTTTTCTCGACCCCATATTTGAAGTCATCTGCCTTAAAATTTTACACCAGGTTAATAAACAGAACAGTGATGGGAACACTCCATTACACGTGGCCTGCCAAAGTGAAAAAGAAAGACGTGTTATGATAATGCTGAAGTTGTTAAAGGTAAGCAGAATCTATCAAATAATATATTAATAAAAGTTAAGCTAGTCACTCAAGTGAGAGACAATAGTGCTATTTTAAACCTTTTTTTTAACAAATGGGTCGGTATTAAAACGAAAATCGTAGACGCCTACTTACAAGGAACCCAGTTTGCATCTTTAAGCTAGGTCATCAAACCTTGTTTTCTATTGTTATTATTGATATAATGTTTTTGCTTTTGTTGATTTCAAAATACTCAAGTCAAATATTCACTCTTAAAAGACTATTTTAAATTCATTTGTAAAATTCTAAACGTATTCACTCTTAAATAATTGACATATCATTATAAACATTTTCAAATGATTAATACAAATAAACTCTTCAAAGATACCAGGATTAAAATCTTTTACGCCAAACGCGCGTTTCGTCTTTAAAAAATTCAACATTGACGCTTGAATAAACTAGAGGCTCTCAAGAGCCTGTGTCGCTCACCTGTATTTACTCATGCTTTGGAAATCATGTAAAATAAGGTTAAAATCATAATTAATAGTATTAGATATTATTTATTATAATGATATCTAAGATAATAACAAAAAACTGCAAAATTTTTGTAAAATTACTAACTCAGGGGCAGCAACCCAACAACAGGTTGTCGGATTCGTCTGAAAATTTCAGGGCAGATAAATCTAAATCTGATGAACATTTTTGCCACCTGTCAGATTTGCTCTAAATGCTTTAGTTTCAGAGATATAAACCAAAAACTGCATTTTACCCCTATGTTCTATTTTTAACCAAGTCGGCCATGATGGTTGGAAGGCGGGGTCATCGGACAAATTTTTTAAACTAGATACCCTAATAATGATTATGGCCAAGTATGGTTAAATTTGTCTCAGTAGTTTCAGAGAAGAAGATTTTTGTAAAAGATTACAAAAATTTACAAAAAATTGTTAAAAATTGACTATTAAGGGCAATAACTCCTAAAGGGGTCGACTGACAATTTTGGTCATGACAACTTATTTGTAGATCTTACTTTGCTGAACATTATTACTGTTAACAGTTTATCTCTTATCTATAATAATATTCAAGATAATAACCAAAAACTGCAAAATTTCCTTAAAATTACCAATTCAGGGGCAGCAACCCAACAACAGGTTGTCAGATTTATCTGAAAATTTCAGGGCAGATAGATCTTGACCTGATAATCAGTTTTACCCATGTCAGATTTACTCTAAATGCTTTGGTTTCAGAGATATAAGCCAAAATCTACATTTTACCCCTATGTTCTATTTTTAGCCATGGCGGCCATCTTGGTTGGTTGGCGGGGTCATCGGACACATTTTTTAAACTAGATACCCTAATGATGATTGTGGCCAAGTTTGGTTAAATTTGGCCCAGTGGTTTCAGAGGAGAAGATTTTTGTAAAAAGCTAACGACGACGGACGACGACGACGACGACGACGCCGACGACAACGACGACGACGGACGACGGACGCCAAGTGATGAGAAAAGCTCACTTGGCCCTTCGGGCCAGGTGAGCTAAAAAAGTAGCAAAAACTATTCATTACTCCAAACCAACATTCTGTTAGTTAGGAATAGTTCGTTTAACGTTGTTTCATGAAAAGACTGACCTGTTAAGTAAGATATCTTATTGTAGGTTTTGACCCTATGTTTTTGAAAAAAAAAAATATTATAACAAGTGTTTCTTTTTTTTTACCTCAGCTTTTGATTCAAAAAATGTTGTCCTTCAACAGAAAATTGTTTTCTTACGTGTACCATATGTGCCCCTTTTCGTGTTCCATTATTTGTATGTATGGAGACATATAAAATACAAATATAAAAAGGAGCTAACCACATACGATTAATTTCAAATTTATCATGATTTATTGCTTTGGTACTACCAAACGTTCAGCTGTTTGACCATAACTTTTCCAATGTAAAACATAACACGAAAAAGCTTGTTCAGAGATGTTCCAACGAATTCTAGATGTGAAGGTATAATGGTCAAACAAGCTATCGAGGGCGACATAAAAGCTTTTTCAGTGATTGCACCAACGAATTCTAGATATGGATGTGTAATGTCAAAGTAAAGCTAGCGATGGCGACCTAAAAGCCGTTTCGGTGGTTGTACCAACGAATTCTAGATCTGGACGTGTAACGGTCAAACAAGCTAGCGATGGCGAACTAAAGCTTTTTCGGTGATTATACTAACGAATTTTAGATGTGGATGTGTAATGATCAAACAAGCTAGCGATGGCGATCCTAAAGCTTATTCGGTGATTGTACCAACGGATTCTAGATCTAGATGTGTAATGATTTGTGTTTGGTTCGTGTTTCTCTATCTCTAGTTTAGAAGTGTACTGTGGACAGTTTGACACTTCGTTTTCACTTTAGTAGTGTACTGTGGACAGTTTGACACTTCGTTTTCACTTTAGTAGTGTACTGTGGACAGTTTGACACTTCGTTTTCACTTTAATAGTGTACTGTGGACAGTTTGACACTTCGTTTTCACTTTAGTAGTGTTCTGTGGACAGTTTGACACTTCGTTTTCACTTTAGTAGTGCACTGTGGACAGTTTGGCACTTCGTTTTTACTTCTGGCCATGGTTTACTCTATCTCTAGTTTAGTAGTGTACTATGGACAGTTTGACACTTCGTTTTCACTTTAATAGTGTACTGTGGACAGTTTGACACTTCGTTTTCACTTTAGTAGTGTACTGTTGACAGTTTGACACTTCGTTTTCACTTTAGTAGTGTACTGTGGACAGTTTGACACTTCGTTTTCACTTCAGTAGTGTACTGTGGACAGTTTGACACTTCGTTTTTACTTCTGGCCATGGTTTACTCTATTTCTAGTTTAGTAATGTACTATGGACAGTTTGACACTTCGTTTTCACTTCTGGTCATGGTTTGCTCTATCTCTAGTTTAGTAGTGTACTGTGGACAGTTTGACACTTCGTTTTCACTTGAATAGTGTACTGTGGACAGTTTGACACTTCTTTTTCACTTTAGTAGTGTACTGTGGACAGTTTGACACTTCGTTTTCACTTTAGTAGTGCACTGTGGACAGTTTGACACTTCGTTTTCACTTCTGGCCATGGTTTACTCTATCTCTAGTTTAGTAGTGTACTATGGACAGTTTGACACTTTGTTTTCACTTCTGGCCATGGTTTACTCTATCTCTAGTTTAGTAGTGTACTGTGGACAGTTTGACACTTCGTTTTCACTTTAGTAGTGTACTGTGGACAGTTTGACACTTCGTTTTCACTTTAGAAGTGTACTGTGGACAGTTTGGCACTTCGTTTTCACTTCTGGCCATGGTTTTGCCAATCCGTCGTCACATTTTAATTCTTATTGATCCATGATATCTTCTCGTATTTTTGACAAATTGTTAACACCCTCACAAATATCGGACAAAAATGATATTGCGACATTCTGTGAGTTGCAATGATTATACATCAAAACAAAGATTTATTTTTTTTGTAGTTGCCTTTGAAATTTGTCTAAATATTATATAAAAAAAAAATACAAAAAAAAAACATAAAATTCTGTGAACTAAAATTTTGCATTAATCTTTAAAATAGTGTATTCTGGTTTTAAGGATTACGTTAAAATGTTTTATCATTCAGTGGATGAGGTGATGCGCAGCTGTAAAGCTGATTTTTTCTAATAGTTAAAAAAAAGTCATCTTATTAATGAGCGTATTGCTTAATTCAGTACTTTTGAGTGAAGCCCTTAATAATATCAGTACCAGGAAGAGATATTTTAGGAATAGTATTACAGGATGTTAAAAGTGTCGAATATCGCCTATACTTAATACTTACAAAAATGTTATAATTGGAATATAAAGTTTAGTTCATTGCGGTCATCTGAGTCTGAACCCCCGTTGTTAACGCCAATATTAAAAAAAGTTAAAATTTATAACTAAAAAATCATTTAGAAACAAGGAAATGAAAATGATTAAAGTTAAAAATGATAAGTTATAAATAAAACATATCCACTTGATACAGGGTTGCAGATGAACCGAGGGCTCTGAATGGTAAAGTTTCTTCCATTTTATCTAGCTTACTGTTCCATTTTATAACCTTTTTTTGTATTTCTCTTAAGATGAAATTATCAAATTTAATTAGTATGTAGTAATTTTACTATATATAAACGACGTGACAGGGCATTTTCCAAACTAGTATTCATAACGGTTTGTCATTATTTTAAGGACACAGCTTTAAATGACCAATACATGTAATATTGCTTTTTTCTGAATCCTAATTGGTTATACTTATGTTTTAGGTATTGAATAAACTATTATTTAAACCATTTTATATCATCTTAAGTGTAATGGACACCACCATGACTTGATTACAGAATATATTTGCCAGAGAATCACATGAAAATGAGTTATTTCAATTTTTCGCAGCAACAATCCCGGCCTCATATCCTCGTTAATGACCAACAGGCGCGTAGCTGCTTTTACGCAAAAAATCATTTGCTTGCACATTTTTTTCACAAAAAAAAAATATTCTGAAATTGAATTACGGATAGTCTTTAGTCTTTACAGATTATCGTGTCGGGCGGTGTTTAAAGCCCAAATCTTTGATGTCGTCTGTAGCAGTGACTAACAAGGAACTATATATCATTCAATATTCGCAATCTTCTCAATTCTAACTACATCAACTACTGAACGGTCATTTAGTGCATTAAGGCGACCGAAAACTTATCTCCGTTCAACCATGGTACAAGACAGACTATCTTCGTTGGCGCTCATACATGTTCACAAAGAAATGGATATTAATAACACCGAGAGAGTTCTGCGATCATTTGCCTTGGCAAAAAATAGATATATGGACTTTCGATACTAACTATACTTTAAGTCTTATACATGCAGTATTAACATTTTATAATACAGGCTCAATACAATCACCTTGAAAACATCTTAGATTTATATCCCTTACTTATAAGTCAAGACTTAAAAGTGGCCATTAGATTTCGTATTCCCATTGTCCGTTCGTCCAAAAGACTATTGATTCACCTGGGGTATCTGTGTCCCAAATGACCTTCTACCGTTGTCGTAGAAACCTCTCCTTTGATTTGAGAATGACCTTCGTGAGACACACTACGGGTGTCTTGCAAGAAGCAGGAACTGCTTACCCTTTTGGCCGGAGCACCGGAGGTCGCCACATTGTTTTCTGGGTCCGTGTTTTTCATCTGTATTTAGTTTTCAATGTTGAATGTTTTTGTTTCTCCTTTTGTGTCTTATCTGTTCCCAGGTTTGTCAATTGTCCATTGATTAACGCTTCGGTTGTCGACTCTTCCTGATCTTCCCGTTTTATAATTTTTTTTTTATATTTGAAAATAACCATGTTAATAATATAAGCAGCAAATTACGGAACTCACTAGACTTTTACTATCGTTTCATGAAAATATGGTATAGTAAGAAACAGATAGGGTATTTTTCATGTTCAAAGCAGTCACTGTAATTACTCATATGCCCGGAGCTTCATGGGGATTCGCTTCCCTAGACCACCGTCTACGGTGCTGCCCTGAATCCCCGACTAGGGTGCTATCCTGGACCAGCTGGGGACTTTGGGCGGTCCATAGCCTCCTCCCTTGCCGAATCACTTTAAAGTCCACAAGTATTCACAAAATAGGAGTTTGGGCGTGAATGTGATGTGAATTTCATAAGCATGGCATACCGGGAAAATGCCCGAAAAAAGTTATCATTTTCTGCATAAAATGGTCCAAAAAAATTTTTCGCCTCGCTTCGCTCGGCGGAAATTATGATTGCACTTTATTTAAGTCCAGCTACGCCCCTGACCAAATGAGATTTATCATCGATTTTTAACTTGTAACGAACAACACGAAATATGTCACTTGTTTTAGCAGGAACTGCCTACCTGTCAGAAAACATAACTTCACACCGGATTTTGATAGGTGCTGTGTTTTATAAATTTTAGTTATTTTACGGCCATAATGTTGTTTATACTTCCTCGACTTCTTTTTAATAGCTACTAATGATCGTATTGCGTTGTATGCAGTGTTTCTAAATTCCAATAGAATATTATTGTATTATCTAAATTAACTTTATTTTGGATTTTTTATTTAGTATTCAGCAAACGTATTTTTGAAAAATAAGAATAACAGTACAGCATTAGACGTAGCTGCTATGTACGGTAAGAAAGGTAGGTAATAAACAAATAAATTAAACATTGCCTTTTACAAACAAATGTCAAGCATTTAAAAAAAAATGTGTAAAGTATTGGAAATTATGATTTAAAAATATTACTGTTTCCATCTTTGTTCCTTATTTTTTGTTTTAGAATCGCCCCTTCCCCACAAAAAGAATAAAATAAACCCCAAAACAAGCACAAACAAACGAAACAGTCGAGTTAGTTCATTTGTTTGATTACAGACGCGGTTTCTGTGTTATTAGACCACGATTCATCACTCAGTTCTAACACATCAGCCATTATTGAAGCCGCTCTAAGAGGATACACAGAGGTGGTGCATTTATTATTAGACTACGGAGTAAATGCAAACTGTATAAATGACATAAAAGAAACTGGACCTCTACACGAAGCAACTAGGTTTTTGAGGTAAGAAAGAATCCTTCAGTTTTAATGATGACTGTCATAACCTATTGGTTTTACCAAGTAAACGATATTTTTTCTGGTTTGGTATTCTTTATAATTTCCTCTGCCCAATATCTTGTCTTCCTACAATTTTTTATGACGTTGCTGTTTGAAATCCCCCCTAAAGTGTAGCCTTCGGTACTAGAGTGTTGGACGGCATGATTTCATATTAGCAGTTTTACTTTGAGCATGTTTTCGGGAATTGCAAGAATTCATTAATACGGTACTATATATTACTGTTTTGCTTATTCCTGTGTTTTTGTTGTCTACCATACCGGAGGATAAAGTTGTGGGCTATCGTATGAACTGTAATAGGTTAATTTTATATTAGCTGGGGCAGAAGTTTCATCCAAGAAATGCAAACGAAAAATAAGAAAACCCGAAGTCTTAGACCTATTTTTGGGTCGAACGAAACAAAGGCTGTCAGTATGAAACAGACCATCTAGTCTGTGCAGTGACCGTTTCATTTGAAATCTACGAGATGAACAGCTTTCAATTAAATGCTGATTATTTATAGATGGAAGGAATCGTCAATATATCTGAAAGTGATATGAAATAAAGGATTTTACCAGATGGTTTTTCAAGTAAAAACAAAATAACTTTTACCGAAATACCAACCATCTAGAATAAAGAATTCATCAACGAATGTTGTTGATCAACTGTTTCATCGTTATGACAATGTCTACTTTTTAATTTTGTTTTGTAGAATTGTTTACAAAGTAGGATACCATGGCCGAGACACTATTATCTGCATTTTGAGATTGTTTTTATAAAGAAATGGTTTACTTTTATATATTGTAACTTGGATGGAGAGTTGTCTCATTGGCACTCATACCACATCTTCCTATATCTATACACCATATAAGGAGAAGGTGTCGTCGATCTTAAAAATATGGTGAAGAGTGCAGTGCAGTCGGAAGCTTTGAAGTTATAACGTTGTAGTGATCGTGATTGATGTTATTGGAGTAATTGTTGTTGTTATTTGTTTTTAAATCCATATTTGAATGGCATATTATTTTTTTTTCTTTTATTCTATATTAAAAGAACAAATTTGTCAATTCAACCTCGTGATGGGTTCTTTACCCAAGTAGACCTATGGTATAAACAGAAAGAATATTAATACCACTTAGTATTTATGTAGATATGTAAATATTGCTATTTAGATTACTATTGAAATTGCAGATATGAAGCAGCAGAAAATCTGATAGAATATGGTGCTAGTCCTTTATTGCAAAACCCAAAATCGGAAGTAAGTGTCATAAACTCATTTTTATCATGTAATAACGGTCATGGTTTATCTCCTGAAATAAAGTGATAAAACATGTAACATATCAGATTATAATTTACAATTTACCTTCAATGGCATTTATAAAGTGAAAGATAATGAATAAGTTAGATATAAAGCCTATACGACTTTAATATACTGTGAAATTCTCACAATGTTCTTTTCAGACCCCATTGAAAATTGCAGAAGCCTTGCCACCGAATTTAAATACCAAATTTCTAGAATTGTTCAAAGGTAAGATTTTATCTACACACACTTACAATGTTATATCACCTTTCACCATGATATCTATGTGGTTAATTGCGTGTGTGTACGTGTGTGAGTTGTGTTACAAATACATTTATCATTTGAAACTTCAGAGCCTAGTTCTGTTTTGAGAGAATAATTATCACCAACGAGGTTTTTTTACGTTTAGTTTTGAGTTGAAAGGTCAATGACAAACAATTTTGTCACCGTTCTCATAATAACGTTGTTATGAAATACACCTTTTGTTCTCTTTGGCCGTCGTAATTGCTTATTTTTGTTTCAATATTGATATTTTATGTTTTGCCTTGACATCATGCCACTTTTCTTTCATATTAAACTCATCATAGATACCAGGATTCAAATTGTGTACACCAAACGCGCGTTTTGTCTACAAAAGACTCGTCAGTAATGATTTCCTTGATAGAGGGTTGCTGCTCACAAGTAAGCTATTAAACCAAGAGTTTCAAGTGGTGAAGTTGAAATGATCCTTTCGAAAATTTTAAGGACGCCATCACGAATTGGTTGACCGTTACGGAATATCTTCAGATGACGACAGATGTGTTCCAATCAATCAAACCACAATCCCGCCCTCCTTTTCCCCGAATGTTACCTACCGAATAAGACTTGACACCGGGTTTGTACTTACATGAGCAACACGACGGTTGCCACATGTGGATCCTGATGTGCTTACCCTTCCAGAGCACCTGAAATAATCCCCGGTTTTGGTGAGGTTCGTGTTGCTTTGTCTTTTGTTTTCTATGTTGTGTTTTGCATACTGTTCTTTATCTTTTGGTCTTTTTCTTTTTTTGTCATGGCGATGTCGCTTTATTTTCGACTTATGAGTTTGATTATCCCTTGGGTATCTTTCGCTTCTCTTTTTACGCCCGAATAAGAAAAAAAATTAAAAAGGCCAAATAAATTACGAAGTTGAAGAGCATTGAGGGCCCAAAATTCAGAAAGATGTTGCCAAAGTAGATCATAGTAACGGATGAATTCTACAAAATGAAAACAACACGTTAAATAATTTCATGCGTCCGAAGCGCTTTTCTAGATTTACCTTCATCAGGAACGCTCAAAGCCGAATATTTGAAGGCCGAGGATGTATAAGTACCGAAACAGTTAAAGAGCTTTATGACAAAAAATACCCCAAAAAATAGCCAAATCCATCTAAGGTCAACTTTGCCTGAGGGAGTTGAAACCTTAGTTTCTTTATAATTTAAAAATCTATAAACGGACAATTTTAGAAAGGCTTGTTATAAATCATGTCAGTACCGAAGTACTGACTACTGCGCTGATGATACCCTCGGGGACTGATAGTCTACCGGCAGAGGTATCGACCCAGTGCTGTATAAAATGAAAACAACACGTTAAATAATTTCATGCGTCCGAAGCGCTTTTCTGGATTTACCTTCATCAGGAGCGCTCAAAGCCGAATATTTGAAAGACGAGGATGTATAAGTACCGAAACAGTTGAAGAGCTTTATGACAAAAAATAGCCAAATCCATCTAAGGCCAACATTGCCTGAACAATGACCCTGACTATGGTATGTATTTGATACCGTTCTCTATACAAATTACTTTATAGATATAATTTGTCATATACTTATCACTTATAAGTTTTTATAAAAAAAAAATTAAATCAGTGTGTAAACTGGAGAAGCGGGAACAATAGAACAGTTAGTCTTTTCATGATAAAGCTGAAATAATAAGTTTACGTCGGTAAACATACTGATTAAAAGTTGATAAAAACATCGTTGACTTAAAAAATATGTGTTAAACTATGTTATTAAAAATATACATACAAATGCATATTGTCTTGTTTTGATTTATCGTTATACTTGCATTATAACCTTATTACACTGATTGAAAGCAAAATGTTCATCATGGCTGCATTAAGATATACAAATTTAGAAAAATCGTGTGCTTACAAAATCTAAAGCCTTTTCAATGCACTAATTTTCAGTGTGCTCTGCATAGTCCGTAGCGTGAGGCAATTTCCCGAAATCTACATATTTTCTACAACTAAGTTTTCAAACACACCGCTGTGTTCATTGTCACGGAAAATTTCATTTTAATTGTTTTTTTTTTGTAAATGTAACGTTTAAAGTGTTACGGCTGTCAAAAAAAGAGTGAAAGGGAAATATGTTTGCAAAAATTATTAAAACCGTAAACAGATTTTACTCTTTTATTCAATTTTAGGAATATGGAATTTTCTCGATGTTAACGCATTAAATAAGGTCCGTTTGAATTTGCCTTTGTGTTTTAAATTCAAAATCGTTAATCTTAAATTAATGCGACAGTAGGATACCGATGTTCATATCTAGCAAATCGCCAAAGAAGAGACAACCCAAAACAACAAATCTAAGGGAATCGTTTGAACTCCATAAAGGAGCGAAACCGTGTGCGTCGAAAGGATAAGCGTCAGATGTATTAAACGTATACAGCTAGCAGAAAAAATAAATTGTAATACGTGTGTAATCTATTTCGAAAGAAATGTTTCAAACCAATTTTATACAAAATTCCTATGGCTACTCGTCGCTTGCTAAATAAAGATTGAAAAGATAATAATTTACGGTATTTCTGTTTTTATATTAATACTTTTCATGATAATTATTTACCAGAGCATTTTCTTCTGAACTTATAATCATTAGCGTCCTCTAGAAGAACGTGGCAAACATTGAAGAGCTCCATTTCTCAGGGTTTGCAGGGGCGATAATTTTTTGCTTATATAAATTCCTCTCCAAAAGAATATTTCATTTTAGGTGATTATCTTCTGTATTGTAGATCGTTCTAAAAGAGAATCTCATACACCTCGATTTCGAAATGGAGGCATATTATATTCACCAACAAAGCACATAACTGGTAATTAGAAATTTTATTTCCGACTGTAGTAAAAACAACATTCCTTCAAATACACATTCAGGATCGTTTTAACATTTACACCGACCAGACTCTTTGCGAGTCACTGTGACCAAAAAGATGTATATGGGCGTTTTTCAATAAAAACGTGATTTCTTGTCCCAGCCACTTTTAAAAAAATGTGTTTGATCTTTACAAGTAATTTTTTGTGCAGTTAATACATTGAATTAGATTTTACATTTGTAAGCAAAGAAACATACTATTTTTAGAGGGATTAATAAGATATTGATTCCTGAATGATTCAAAATAACCAAAATGACATGTCCCTAGACCTCCTGTTCAACATTCATACTCTAAAATATGGAAAGCCTCAGCTGTCATATATTAGAGATTTACAAAACGTTATGCTGAAGCTTAAAATGTAAATTTAAGACAGCGTGATGTTGAATCGAGTCATCAAAATGCTAACTCTAAATTACAATATGCTAAGTTGAATCTGCGCAATGTTGACTTGCAATGACAAGTGCTTTAGTCGTGATAGTATAATGATAAGTCACGATGTTGTGATGATATGCCAAACACACGTAACGTTGGGTTTAAAGTACTTGATGTGAAGTTGACGTTGCATGATGTTAGCTTGCAGATGGATACTGCTCAGTCATCTACATCGACAGCTATGATAACAAATTAAATGAATAGCTAAAATGTATGGTGCTGACTTGTTATTAATTAATGTTGAGCTGAGATAGTACGATGTTATATCATTGTGATATTACGATTGGTCTATCATGCAATCTGTTGATTTAAAACACCATGATACACAGTTGAAAGTACATGATGTAGAGTTAAGATAACACGATGCTACACCACTATATTGAAACGAAAGGCTTACCATACAATTTGTTGACTTAAAACAACACGATGCAACGTGTTAAGCTAAGATGCTCACTTGAAACTACAGGACGTACAGTTGAAATTTTGTAATGTTAAGCTACGATAGCACGATGTTATATCATTATAATGTCACAGTAGGCTTATTATACAATTTGCTCGTTTAAAACTACACACCGTACAGTTGAAAGTACGTGATATTAAGCTAAGATGGCACGTTGTTATATCATTAGAATGTCACGATAGGCTTACCACACGATATGCTCGTTTAAAACTACACGACGTACAGTTGAAAGTACGTGATGTTGAGCTATGATAGCAATATCTTATATCATAATAATATCACGATAGGCTTGCCATACAATATGCTCATTTAAAATTACACCACGTACAGCTGAAAGAACGTGATGTTAAGCTAAGATAGCACGTTGTTATATCATTAGAATGTTACGATAGGCTTACAACACGATATGCTCATTTAAAACTACATAATTTTCAGTTGAAACTAGATGATGTTAAGCTAAGATATCATGTTGTTATATCATTTGAATGTCACGATAGGCTTACCATACAATATGCTCATTTAAAACTACACAACGTACAGTTGAAAGTATGTCCCTTACCGAAAAATAAGCCCTGCGGCAAATGTTTGCCGCAAGTTTGCAGCAAACATTGCCGCAAGCTTGCGGCAAACATTTGCTGCAAACTTGCCGCAACCATTTTACCATGCAAATGAAGGTTGCGGCAAGTTTGCTGCAAACAAAATTATGCAAATTAGATTTGCGGCAAGCTTGCGGCAATTGTTTGCTGCAAGCTTGCGGCAAATGTTTGTTGCAAACTTGCGGCAAACTTGCAGGAACTACACATATATTAATGTCATGTGTGTAGGCACATTCAATTTAGCTCTTTCAAATTACACAGAAACATTTTTAAAAGAATTCCTGCCTGTATACAAACAGTCATTGAAAGAATTCTTGCAAACAAAGGGGACAGGGGTCATTCTCAAATGACATCATATACCTGTAATTAAGAAATGAAAAAAGAATAAATCTTAAGTGTGTATCGGGTATAAAGCTAGGTAATAATTGCATTACAAAATTGAACTTAATTTTAATAAACATGGTACAGTACATCAATTACAAAATTCAAACTTATAATACATGTAGCTAAAGATTTTCAAACACACACATATATATAGTTGCTTACTTAATTATGTATGATGTGACATTAATTATTTTATCAAAACATGCTGTTCTATGAATTATTTGTACTTACAAAATTACATATTGATATAAATCCTTTATCATTGAACCAAAATGCCTCCTTGATCTCTTATATGTGAAATGCATTTTCCAAACACAATCAACATGACCTAGTCACAATTTCAAATTGTTAGCTTCCAGGAAGTGCCAACTAGGCATGCCCAGTCAATAATGTGTAGTTCTTGCAATGTTCTGGCAAACATATAGAATGGTCAAAGTTTTCTGCAATTTTGTGGCAAACATATAAAATGGTCAAAGTTTTCTGCAATCTTGCGGCAAACATTCTTAATTATCCTAACTTTCTGGCAATCTTACGGCAAACATTGATGTTTCTGCAAACTTGCCGCAAGCTTGCAGCAAAAAGCTGCAATGTTTGCCGGAAGTTTGCAGCTAGCGGCAAACATCTGCAAACACAATTTTCTGTGTTCCTGCAAACTTTTTGTTTGCCGCAAGCTTGCGGCAAGTCTGCTGCAAGTTTGCGGCAAACAATTCAGTTTCATAAGGGGTGATGTTGAGCTATGATAGCACGATGTTATATCAAATTAATATCACGATAGGCTTGCCATACAATATGCTCAGTCAAAACTACACAACGTACAGATGAAAGTACGTGTTGTTGAGCTCAGATAGCACGATGTTATATCACTATGACGTCACGAGAGGCTTATCATACAATGTGTTGACTTGAAACTACACGATGTAAATTTGAAGAAGTTTGGTCTTGACTTGAAACAGTAAAATGTTAAGTTAAAAAAACAGAACGTAAAGTCAAAATAAAACAATGATAGGATGACGTGTACTTGTGCAAAATTGAAGATTTTTGGTGTTGACTTCGAATATAGTACAGATATTAAATCGTTTTATGTTAAATTGAAAGACAATAACGATGCGTAAAACATTACAGAATTATGTGAATTGAAACTGCAATTCTATGGAAAAGAATGAGGGACAAATCCCCAGGATTTTTTCTTCTTCAATTGCAAGTTCGGAAGCAAAATGATATACAAAGAAAGTTTTCCATAAATTCATAAAGAAAAAGAATTACCCTTCGCTATATATTTGTACTTGAATACAGATTTGCCTATATTTTACATGTTTTGTTTGGATTTTTTTTTATGATTAAAAACTAGACTTTTTTTTTATGAACAATATTTAAGAAAATATTTATCTATGTTGTGTGTTAATATATACAACATAATATTGCGCTTATAAGACTCCGGTTATGACTGTGAGGGTCAAATTTTACTCATATAAAATCACATCTATGTAAGAGTTAGCGGAGAATTTGTATTTACCACTCCCGTTTTCCACGAAATAAAACATAAGCATCTGGAGTCTTAATCTTAAAAAACAAAGATCAACTGATATGACAAATAATACGGTAAAGCGTTGGACTGAGAGGGTCAGAGCTATATGAGAATGTGACCCCCACCCCCGGCCTTGTTAGAGGTATCTGAAAATTTGAATTTTCTTTTCCACGAAATAAAACAAAAAGAATTGATAGGTGGAAGAATCCTACTGCTAGGGAGGGGGGGGGGGGGGCAACCCAAATATAAAGTATGGTAGATTCTGTTGTAAACTTTTCGCTTATACATGAAGTCTATATGAAACCTAATGAAATTTGACCTAGAGCCTCCAGTCTAAATCGTCAAATTTCAAAAAAAAGAAATACATCATTTACAGCAGTGCCAACCATTTTTTCCAGCACCAAGTAAGATAGTGCCCAGGTTTATGTATATATCCACTCGGAGAATATTTTATTTTTTAAATTGGTAAAGTCATTGATGGACAATGACCCCTATAACTTATAATAAGAAGCCAATTAATGAATTCCGTCACTTATTTTCTTGTCCATAGTGATTTTCTTGGTTCTTTGCAGCTTCTCTCTATTTATATGTGTTTTCAAAGAAAAATAAAAAAAATCAAAAATCTTTAAAAATTGTTAAAAGTCCATGAATTATTTTGGTATTGCTTTGATTAATTTGTAGATATGTTTTTTTTATGTCAACAGTTTCTCTCTCTCTCTCTCTCTCTCTCTCTCTCTCTCTCTCTCTCTCTCTCTCTCTCTCTCATAGTTTTCATGAGTGTGGTCTAAATTAAAATCGATAGATTTTTTTTTAATTATTTGCAAAAATGTAGTTTATTCTTTTTTGAAAAACATAATAAAAAGTTTGGGCAACAGAGCATTTTGCAAGCTACAGGTTATGCAGTATTGTCAGATTTTGTATAAACTATACATGGAAAACTCAATGTTAGAAAATAAAAAAAAAAATTGGGATCACGAGACTCGTTTTCTGTCTACAAAACGAAATAGATAAAGTCCCTACACATTCCATCATTAGAGACGAAATATGCCAAAAGGATTTCAAACTCATAAGTCGAAAACACTGGGCTAGGACGAAAAATTTTGTCCTGCCTTTTTTTTTAGTTGTAATCTCTGTCCTGCCTTTTTATTTTTCACTCTATTGGTCCTGCATTTTTTTTTATTAGTTTATTCTGACTTTTTTTTTACATAAATTGTCATCCTGCCTTTTTTTTTGCCAAGTTGCTCATCCTGCCTTTTTTTTTAACTCAAAACTCCTGTCCTGCCTTTTTCTCAAATTTCATTCTAGCCCCCCAATAAAAATCAAATGGTAGCTCCCTAAGATGGCGGAAGACACCCGATCTACCTTAAGGACAATATATCTAATGAGGAAGAAAATTACAATTTCGGTCAAGTCGAGTTACTTGTAGATCTCCTTTTGTTGAAAAGGGTCATTTATCTATCTATCATACTGTTCAGGGGGAGGGGAGAATCGAGAAAAAAAAATACACAAAAATGGATAAAAGAAGGCGAAAGATACAAAAGGGATAGTAAAAATCTTAACCAAACTGACAATGGCATGACAAAAACTCATCAGCCGAAATAAACGAGAGAAAAAAGATCAAAAGCCAAACAAAACTGAGCAGCACGAAACTCTCAAAAAAAGGGGTGATCTCAGGTGCTCCAGAAGGGTAAGCAGATCCTGTTTCATATGTGGCACCCGTCACTTGGCGATTTTGCAAATAAAGAAGGAATGTGTTATAATTTTCGAGGAACTCCCCCCCCCAAAAAAAAAACATGAACTACAGGGTGTCAAATCGATGAACATGCTTAAAATAGGCTCCTTTTCATAAACAAGAATTGATGAAAATGTATTTGTATTTAGTGTACAGTGGCAAATATTACATGCATATAAGGACGAGAATATGTAAGTGTGATATGAATATGAATAAATCTTTGCTCTGTACAAGATATATTTTGCTTGCTTAGCCGAATTTCAAACAAACTAGTTGACAAACCGTCTCTGACAATCTATGGAAATCCAAATAGCATCGGTTTTGATTAAGTCCAGATTTTTTGGTTTTATTTCGGGGAAAAGGGGTGCGTTTTACGTACAGTGGCAAATATTACATGCATATCAGGACGAGAACATGTAAGTGTGATATGAATATGAATAAACCCTGCTTTGTTACAAGACATACTTTACTTGCCTAGCCGAATTATCAACGAACTAGTCGACAAACTGTCTCTGACATTCTATGGAAATCGTAATCGCATCGCTTTTGATTAAGTCCAGATTCTTTTGTTTTATTTCGTGGAAAAGAAAATACAAATTTTCAGATACCTCTAACAAAACCGGGGGGAAGGGGTCACATTCTGATATATCTCTCACCATCTCAGTCCAACGCTAATGGTATTATTTGTCATATCAGTTAATCTTTGTTTTTTAAGATTAAGACTCCAGATTCTTATGTTTTATTTCGTGGAAAACGGGAGTGGTAAATACAAATTCTCCGCTAACTCTTACATAGATGTGATTTTATATGAGTAAAATTTAACCCTCACAGTCATAACCGAAGTCTTATAAGCGCAATATTATGTTGTATATATTAAAACACCACATAGATAAATATTTTCTTAAATATTGTTCATAAAAAAAAGTCTAGTTTTTAATCATAAAAAAAACCCAAACAAAACATGTAAAATATAGGCAAAACTGTATTCAAGTGTAATATATAGCGAAGGGTAATTCTTTTGCTTTATGAATTTATGGAAAACTTTCTTTGTATATCATTTTGACTCCGGAGTTAAATTTCATTAATATTCATCAACTTGCAAATAAAGAGGAAAAAATCCTGGGGATTTGTCCCTCATTCTTTTCCATAGAATTGCAGTACTTCTACGCATCGTTATTGTCTTTCAATTTAACATAAAACGATTTAATATTTGTACTATATTCGAAGTCAACACCAAAAATCTTCAATTCTGCACAAGTACATGTCATCCTATCATTGTTTTATTTTGACTTTACGTTCTGTTTTTTTAACTTAACATTTTACTGTTTCAAGTTAAGACCAAACTTCTTCAAATTTACATCGTGTAGTTTCAAGTCAACACATTGTATGATAAGCCTCTCGTGACGTCATAGTGATATAACATCGTGCTATCTGAGCTCAACAACACGTACTTTCAACTGTACGTCGTGTAGTTTTGACTGAGCATATTGTATGGCAAGCCTATCGTGACATTCTAATGATATAACAACGTGCTATCTTAGCTTAACATCACGTACTTTCAGCTGTACGTGGTGTAATTTTAAATGAGAAAATTGTGTAATAATCCTATCGTGACATTATAATGATATAACATCGTGCTGTCTTAGCTGAACAACACGTACTTTCAACTGTACGTCGTATAGTTTTAAATGAGCATATTGTATGGCAAGCCTATCGTGATATCATTATGATATAAGATATTGTTATCATAGCTCAACATCACGAACTTTCAACTGTACGTCGTGTAGTTTTAAACGAGCATATCGTTTGGTAAGCCTATCGTGACATTCTAATGATATAACAACGTGCCATCTTAACTTAACATCACGTACTTTCAACTGTACGTTGTGTAGTTTTAAATGAGCAAATTGTATAATAAGCCTATTGTGACATTATAATGATATAACATCGTGCTATCGTAGCTTAACATTACAAAATTTCAACTGTACGTCCTGTAGTTTCAAGTGAGCATCTAAGCTTAACACGTTGCATCGTGTTGGTTTAAGTCAACAAATTGTATGGTAAGCCTTTCGTTTCAATATAGTGGTGTAGCATCGTGTTATCTTAACTTAACATCATGTACTTTCAACTGTGCATCATGGTGTTTTAAATCAACAGATTGCATGATAGACCAATCGTAATATCACAATGATATAACATCGTACTATCTCAGCTCAACATTAATTAATATCAAGTCAGCACCATACATTTTAGCTATTCATTTTATTTGTTATCATAGCTGTCGATGTAGATGACTGAGCAGTATCCATCTGCAAGCTAACATCATGCAACGTCAACTTCACATCAAGTACTTTAAACCCAACGTTACGTGTGTTTGGCATATCATCACAACATCGTGACTTATCATTATACTATCACGACTAAAGCACTTGTCATTGCAAGTCAACATTGCGCAGATTCAACTTAGCATATTGCAATTTAGAGTTAGCATTTTGATGACTCAATTCAACATCACGCTGTCTTAACTTTACATTTTAAAATTCAGCATAACGTTTTGTAAATCTCTAATATATGACAGCTGAGGCTTTCCATACTAAAATATTGTAAAAAAAGGTAGAAATAAATGTTATTTTTACTTAATATAAGTTCTTTAATTATTCAAAAGTATGTTTAGAGCCAATATATTTTATTAAACAGTTTTTGACAAAGGATTTTTAATTTTAGAAGGTGTTTCCCTTGACATTCCTGACAAAATGTCCACTACGAAACAAAGTCATTAAATTTTGCTAATAAACAGTTTTATAAAATCAATGTTTGCAAGAGATATAAACATTAGGGTCTTACAAAAGAAGTGATGCTTTTATAACGGCAGTTAAATTGTTGGCCAAAAAAATTGAGCACATCAAATGGACCAGAGTGATGCCGTATTTTTGTTAATGTCCACTACGAAACGGGTCAAATCTCCTTCAGTATCTGGTTTTAAAATTATGAAAAAAATATCAATGTACAGCTTAGTACGTGCTTTGATGAATAGAATCATTCTTGTTACTATTGCAGTATAGGGATTGTAGGGAAAAAATAAAACATGTGAATATGTCCACTACGAAACGGTCACCTACGAAACAAGTATGGGAGAAAAAAGTTTCTTAGTGGACACTACCACTACCATGCAGTCGTTTTTTACTCTTTTTTCAATTATATTCGTGCAAAACAATTAACAAGGGTTAGTTTCATGTAATTTTCAGTATGTTTTTATCAACATAGAAAAGGGTTGATGTCAACTGCGAAACTTTTTGTCCACTACGAAACGGTTTTGTCAACGACGAAACTCATCAAAATGTCCACTACGTAACATGAGTTGTACCTTCATATGTGAAGTACTGTCTAATCTTTATCGATAAAAAATGGTTCTTCAATTCAGAAAAAAATGAGATCTTTCTAGTATATAAAGTAAAACAAACTGGAATGTCTATAGGAGACATTAAAATGCAATAAGATGTGCGTTTAAAAGCAGTTTCGTAGTGGACAAATGTCCCTTACGAAACAGTACATAAATTATGAAAACAATATCATTTTAAAGAGTATTTAAGAAAGCACTTTATATTTACAAACAGGTCTATAATAGAGGTATTCAAAATAACTCTTGAAATAAAATTTTAGACAAGTTGATTTTCCATTTTATTTAGGTCTGAAATTCACACTTTTATTGAAAAACGCCCATATACTTATATTTCTTTAAGAAATGCATTTTGTTCTTTAAAAGCTAAATTTAAACTACGCAAACAAAGTAAACAATTATAAAAGTAAAATTTAAATCATTTTCATTTTGTTTTAGATTATCCATTACTTCCTTCTAGAACTGAATGGACACAAAACTCAACATCATTTTGTAACAGTTGTACAGCTGAACATCCAAACACAAATATATTTGACGGTACTTTGCTTAATGAATATAAGTCAGCTTTGTTCAGTTTTATGTTTTTCAGAAATGACAGAAAGTGTAACTTTTGTTTATTCCAACGTGTTTTTCATAGTGTAATATTGTAAGGAAAGTTTTTTCAATTGCCTTACCTAAATAAAAAATAATGGCGTACAGGGCAGTAAGTAGATAAGTAAGGTTCAAATAAATAGAACGGATTCGTTAATTTCTAAAGGAAGAATTAATTTCTTGGTTAATTAAATTGAAGTACAATGAATTGTGAGGTACAAATTATGCTGATTTTTTTTAATTACCGACCAGGTTAAGATGCACACAGTATTAAAGCGTTTCAATTTTTTTATCAGGCAATCTACAGACATTTTGGGTGATAGAGTCATCAGAATATGTGTGGACAGTACTTGACTTACAGACAGAACATACCCTGACGGGTATAACGATATATGGATGGTTAGTAAACGGTTCTTTTGAAAATTGTTGTAATAAACCCTTTTCAGTTTAACTAAAACAATGAACTATGATATAAAGGGTAAAAAGGTAGAATCGAGTCTGAATTGTATTTTGAAATTTGATATACAATGAGATTAATGTGCTACATTTGACATTACGTCTTTTGAGAACTGTTCTTTACAAATCTTTTTATTGAAGTATGATTATTAACAAAATTTCATATATTTTAACCTTGCAGTGTCGAAAATAAAACATGATTTGTGATTACCTGAAACTAACAGCTGGCATAGAAACTTTATTGAGATAAAGAAAACAAAAATTCTTCTAACCAGCAAGTAAATAAACAAATGTTAGAATTATATTTCTTTTTGTGCATTCACAAAATAACCCAATAATATTTTGAAAATGACTTCATACTTTTTGTGATCTTGTTTTTTAGGGACAGTAAACAAATGGTCAAAAGATTTGAACTTCAAAAAGGACCAACTGTTCAGTAAGTTTTTGATACCATAATATTCACCTTCCTCAGGAAAATTCCCAAAAGATGTCTCTATGTCAAGAAAATTCAGTCAACCGAATTTAGATTGAAGGTTTTTAAAATGGTGTATTATTCATCAGTCGTAATCAAATTATGAAACTATCGTTACTATTAATATTTTTCTACCTAAGTAATCATTACCAGTCGAATGAATTAATTGAATGCTGTTAATATTTATTTTATTCGATTTTATTAGGTAGAACAGAACAATCTATCACCACAATTTTGGACTATATAGTCATTTCCCTCCAAAATCGCAGGCCCTCGATCGATCTTTCTTCTTCTCTTTTTCAGACGTTTTGAATTTTTGGCTTTTGTTACTTTTGTTTTAATGCACACATAATGAAGGTATGATACACATTTTTACAGAATCGTTGATGATTATATAAAGCGGATTTCTGTCTTTCAGGGAATAGTGCATATAAATGACAGAACAAGTATTTAAACTTTGAAAGATGAAAGGACCATACATTTTTTTATAATACATATGATAGGAAAATTCAGATAATCTGAAAAATATGAATGACTTTTTACGTTATATAACATTATCCATAAGCAGCATAAGACATCCAAGTGGTGGAATAGATTCTATGAGGACAACTAAGAATAACGCAGAGACAACAGTATTGTTTACCACAACGCATATCTGCGAAAAGATCTCTGAAAATGACAGAAGGCTTGACCCTCTTCCCGCCAAAACATAAAAAAAAAAATAAAAGACACGCACAACAAAAATCGAAAAAAATTAAAGGAAATGTTCATGAATATCACATGTTTTCATCTTTGTTTATTGGTATTTGTATTACGTATTGAAACTGTTTTATTCATTTCGAACTCATGGTAACTTTTGTAAACTCCACAACTATCATTGTCATATTTCACAGAATTTTTTTATTTTCTTGATGATTGCCATCTCTTCGATTTCATGAAAACTTCGTGTATCTTTTGTATCAGACAGCAACGTATTATTTCAGAGGACCATGGACAACCGTTGGCTGTTTTGTATGTAAAAGAATAGGAAGCAAAAATCCAAAAGACAATGGTAAATTTCACCAGTTAAAACTCCCATTTTTAACATTTCCATTTGCATTATATACGGATATTGATCATGAAAGAATACATTGAAGAATTAGTTTATCCAAGGACATTTTCCAGTATACTATTATGAGACCCTGACATTTGAATTTTTACATTGGAAAGGTTGAGCGTTCAGTGGTATATTTCCTTTAGCGGTTACATATATAAAATGTTTAATACGAACAAATACATTTTTAGCGGTTTAGCTGGAACGTCAAACAATTAATCACTATTTTTGTCTCGCAAGTAACGCGTGCGACCAAAGTCGCGAAGGCTAGATAACGCGATTTTACATTTCGTCATCGTCATCGGTTTCGTCGTGGTCATCGGTTTCGTCGTGTTGTCAACATTTAGGTTGTTTTCAGTCTTTGCTGAAAGTTTTTTTCTTTAGACATAACTAACTTTGTCAAACCTTAATGAAATTTACGAAAAAATGAATAGTAACGTTGGACAGAAGAAGTTTCTTCGTAATCAAGCGATGCCATCTGTAGCCATTTTTTTAAATGGTTTTTTATTTGTATGTTACTGATAAATGAACTACATTATATGCAGAATCAATTAAATACAATCTGGGATCGAAGGTTTTTAGACATCAGTCATTTTGTCAATCCTTCATTGAACTTCATTAAACTAAGACACAAGCTATTTCATGTTCAAAGAAATTTGAACCATCTCAAGAAATAAAAAACAAACATTTTTCTTTATCTTTTTGCATTTTACTGATAATTTATCTTTTTAGTTATCATTTAGGTACAGTCCTTGGTTAAATATTTTATAACTTGAATAAGCTTGTCAAATATTAAAAATTGAAAGAATATTTTGTGTCTAATAGGTGTTCCACAGACATTTAAGGATTTTACAGCTAGTTCTCGGTACTGGAGATATCATTTACTAGAAAATCACGGAGGAAGTTGCACGTGTTTTCAAGGTTTAGGTTTACACGGTGCTGACGATAGAATATTAACATATTTTGAGGAACTAGACATGATTAATTATGCGGAACAGTTTATTATTCAGGTAATTAAATTGAAATGTTTGAAAGTAAAAAAAAACAGTGCAAAAATGTAAAAACTGATGAACTTTACTAGTATTTTCTAGTTGTGGAATCACAAACCAAATTTTATAAATGACAGATTTTTATAGATTTAGTACAGCTTGAGTAAGGTATCATTAATGGATAATGACTCTTCCAAGAATTTTAATTTCTTCCATTACCTAAGCGGAAAGTAAAGAAACCTAAATTGCATATCCACAATTCCTTATTTTATAATCACTCAGTTATTATGACATATATATATATATGGTAACATAATACCCGCACGAATTGGTTATTGCACTGGCTTATTGAAGACAAAATTATGAAGAACACGTATATAAATCGTTTTATAATCACAGTATATAATACTTTCAGGGATATAACACACACACAAAATTGCTCTTAATATATGAAGATGACTTGAAGAAGATTGTAAGTATATAAATATTTGTAATGGAAGAATTTTTTACAATTTTGAATTGATATAAATGATATATTTTAATTGTGAGTGTAAGTTTAAATTATAAAACTCTACGAAGAGCAATGTTGAATCTCTCAAACAGGAAAATTTAATCTTGGATGGTTTTGTGTTTTCACAAGCAATATATATCAGACATGGGGCGAATTACATTCCAATGTAATGCATTACATTACAATTACTTTGACAAAACAGCATTATATTACAATTACATGTATTTTGGAAAGTAATGCATTACATTACAATTACATTACTAAAGTAATGCATTATATTCCACATTACATTTTATAAATTTTATTATCAAAAGAAACATATACAACATGTTATACTGAAATCTTGGTTACTATTAAATAGGTATTTTAAAAATCCTTTCATTGCCCTATTAGACCAAATGTCAACAGTCAAACAAATGTGATCAGCTTCCTGAAGGTTATCATACAATTTTTTAGTACATCCTTCGCCTTAGTCTGTATCAATTTATATGAGAGATGTTTCTCGCTTTGAATTTGAAATTTTGGGTTAAGATTTTCTATAAATTTTTTTAAATTTGGACTTTCAACTGTTGAAAATGGGAGTAAATAACTTATAGCAATATACTAGAAAAGTGAATCTGTAGCTTTGTTTTGCTTTGGAGTATTTAATTGATATTTCTGAATACCACCTGGTTTTACAAAATTTGACAAGGTTGATTGTTCTTCTGGGTCAGGCTTTCTATGTTTCGAAGTATACATCTCTGCATTTTCTCAACAAAGAAATATCAGAAATGTTGAAGGGAATTCATTCTACCATTTTGTTTTTTTTTTATTATATTGTTAACTTAATCTCAATGTTATTTAATTACTTTAACATCATAAATTCACTTGTCAAAATACTAGTAAAAGAATTGATTGCTATACAAACTAATTAGTGGTTTTTGACAGGTGTCAATTATCAATCATTTAACTTATTTCTTTCATCTTTAAATATCTATTTATTGGTTTTTCAATTACTATAATGGTATATGAAAATGACTGCAAATGAAAATCAATATTAATTGTGTATGTTTGTTTTAATTATTAGACGTATAAATGTTTTAGTATTAAGGTTAGATGAAGAAAACCATTAGTTTTACAACAGTTCAAATTTACACTTTTTGTTTATCATTACTACATTGATTTGTTTTTTAATTTTCCTATTTCTTAAATAAAATAGAACAGAAGGTACTTATTATCCATGAAATTTGTAGCAATATATTGCACTATCAGACAAGAAGTAATGCTATGTAATGTCATGTAATGCAAAAATTACATGCATTTTTGACAATGTATAATGCATAACATTACAATTACATGTAATGGCAAAATTTGTGCATTACAAATTGCATGCATTACTTAGGGAAATGTAATGCATTACAGGGCACTACAACTGCAAATATAATTGCCTGATATAAATATTTGGTTATCTTATCTTTTGGCCGCGAGCATAGTAAACAATTATTCAAGAAACACGAACGATGCTTAATAAATCGGCACGGGACGTTAGCGCTTTTTTATGAGACATTTGCGCTTTTTTAATGGATATTTGTGCTTCAATTTTATGGACATTTGCGTTTCAAAAAAAAGGTCATTTGCGCTTTTTCAATAGGACATTTGCGCTTATCAAAATAACATATGAGTCATCATGGTAAAAAAGTTTAAGAATACCAAAAACACAAAACATTCATATATTTATATACAGCTAATAAAATCAACCTTTTCCCATCATGCATGTGTCAGATAAAAACGACACCACTTCCTGAGGTTGGATGGAAGTAAACTCCCCATAATAACCATGACTCTTTCTAAAATTCAACATGTACAGCAAATAATTTAAAAATCAATTTTAGGTCTTCACAAATTGAAACAAGCTTAGGTAAACTATGATGGTACAGTTCCTTTGAATATTCATGCAACAGATAGACACAAGAGGAATTTAATTTCCAATTTTCAATCCACGAATTATTAAGTAACTTTAGAATTTAGGGAATTTTTTAAGAGTTCCATCCAATCTCTGTCGTTTACCCAGAAACTTATACTATATTTTTAACATATATAGATATAAGAAGATGTGGTATGAGTGCCAATGAGACAACTCTCCATCCAAGTCAAAATTTATAAAAGTAAACCATTATAGGTCACAGTATATGTCTGGTTTACCCGCATACTTTTTTCTGATGTTGTCGTTTGTTTGGAAGAACTCTCAAAGAATATGTGAACATCTTTCCATGACTTTGTAATTTTTTTAAGATTACAGGGAAACTATCCTAGGCAAAAAGCGCAAATGTTCAATCAATTTTGTCTGGTTTATCGAAGTTTAAAGCGCAAATGTCCATACTGGTTGGAGCGCAAATGTCCTGTCGTGTTACAGGTGAAAAAAAGCCCTAATAAATTCGGTGCGTATACGTACAATCCAATACAAAAAACATTCTGTACTAATTCTTACTTCTCAAACTCGAAGAAATAATTACGATAGTCACATTAGCATTATATAATTACATTTTAAACTTAAACTTAAATAGAAATGCCCGTTGCATATGATGCATCAATCATGTAATTTTATATTTCTACAAATGTGTCGATGGCACTGCTCTTTTGGAACCTCTTCAATCGAACTTTTAGATACCGTATAGCGGGTTATTTTCGCGGGGTGTAAATTTTCGCTTATTTTCGCGGAAAGAACAAAATCGCCAAAAATAAATTCCGGTAATTCCAAAGTGTACATGCAAAGGTATTGATAAAAGTTTTGAATCCGCCAAAATAAGAACCGCCAAAATATTTCGTATACCTTATTTAATGAAAATCGCGAAATTTTACACCCGCGAAAATAACCCGCTATACGGTATGCTCTGGCAAAACCTATCGGAATTTTAGATCCTCAATGCTCTTCAATTTCGTATTTTATTTGCCTTTTAACTTTTATTTGAGCGTCACTGATGAGTCCTTTGCAGACAAAACGCGTGTCTGGCATACAAAATATAAGCCTGGTATCTTTGATGAGTTTTTCAAACACTATTTTACACTGAAAGTTTAGTCGAAAGGTTGACAAATAGATTGAAGTAGAATCAATTGAAACAAAAACTGCACAACGATCAGATAACACTACTTAACATCCAAATGTGCAAATATCGTAGGCCTTTTAATTGTTTAGGAATAAAAAGTTAAATAAGAAATTGCAACTTTCTCTTTTTTGTGGTCACATCACGAATTTGTTGACCGATATGATGGGTCTATGTCTTAACCACTAGCGACATGATTTCGCGGTCTTATATATTTAAATACCAGAATAGTAGTCTTATTTGTAATATCACCGATTGTGACATTTTCACTGAGTGTGTATTCGCTTCGTGGCTGATGCATGCATAGGAGAGACGCTTACCCGTCCATGCATAGGGTCTCGCTCCTTATGAGTTCAAGCGATTTCCTCGGTTTTTTGTCTTTTCCGTGATTTGTATCTTCTTAAAGGCATGTGAAACGAGTTTCTTGAAATTATGATGTTAAGGTAATTATTGAACCAATGCATGTTTATATACTAAACTAAGTCCTCTATGTACCATTGTTGGTAATTTTTACGAATCCACAACTTGTAATCGACATTATATATTTTATTTAGTGAAAACTTTCCCTGTTGACTAACTTTCGTGTTCTGTTGGCGAAGTTTATCGAATGTGACCATAATAAAGAATCAACACAGAATTATGCGGAGCACGTGGAAAATAAGTGGGACGATAGACATACAATAGATCAATGTTTATACTTTTCTATATGTTCCATGCGCTTCTATTTGTTAATTAAACTTTGTCATAAGAGTTTTTAAATGATTTGGTGTATTAATTATTTTCTTTCAGAATCAATTAACACTATCTTACTTATTCCACGTTTGTTTACCTTTTCTTTCATCACGGTTTCAACCTGAGGCTCGCATTCGCGCTGTGCAGTTGTCGAAGTTCTAACGAGAGTGGTTAAGGTAACTGCATACGGATAAGATATCGGCGATTTAGTGTACGAGAAGACATTAATTCATAAGCATTACACTTCTTGATATTTTTATAGAATAAAGAGGGTTTTTTTAAAATATAGTTTGCAAACAATACAACCCATTATTGTAAATGGAAATTTCACTTTCATCTCGTACATGTGTGGATTGAGTATATTTAAGAACTCTTTCTCCCAAGCCTGACATGTACAAAACAGCTATATTTTTTTTCTGGATACAGATAAAGATTATAGAACACATTTGGTATTTATCAAAATTCATCCTCATTTCATGACTGATGAAGAGTTTCAATTTTTGACATCAAGAAATATAATTGCTGTATTTAAAACAAAACGGATTTGAAAAGTTAATCAAAAGGTATTTCACTAAATGTTTGAATCGGAAATATAATATTTATATATGCATTAGCTTTCTTTCCAAACATATATTATCATATAAATAACACATAGCTGAGAGGGCGATAGAGCAGATTGTTACCCCGAGAAAACATTGTCAACTGAGGCGAAGCCAAGGTTGACAATGTCTTTTCGAGGGGTAACAATCTGCTCAATCACCCTCTCAGATATGTGTTATTTAATTTATTATACTGAAAGTTCTGTTATTACTGTCGATTAAATTTCAAATTCAAAGTAATAAACTATGACGTCTTGTACATAACAACCATCCGTATTTAATAAAGCGCACTCTTGATCAAGCGTCTCTGTGAAAGGTAACAGAGTATTTGCCATAGGATAGAGTCATATTTAATTAAGCGCACACTTGATCAAGCGTCTCCGTGAAGGGTAATAGAGTATTTGCCATGGGATAGAGTCGTATTTAATAAAGCGCACACTTGATCAAGCGTCTCCATGAAGGGTAATAGAGTAAATAAACACCCTCGTATTAGCCAATCAAAATATTGCATTTTAACGTGAAGTATTATAAAATGTATTGATAGATATCAGATGTAGATCACCAAAGAATAGTGAAGGCTGAATTAGAGAAAGAAGCCAGAAAAGGTTAGTTTTGCAAAAATCTAACAAAAACTTATGATATACGTTTTGTTTGATGTATGCTTTTCACATTTTAAGCCGTACAAATCATTAAACAAAAATGTCAACCTTACATATTTCATATCCTATATGCCAAAAAAAACTTCAATTACAGTTAACTAATTAATTTTCGCGGAAACTTTATTTCACGTTTAGTATAAAAATAAGGAGATATGGTATGATTGCCAAAGAGACAACTATCCACCAAAGTTAAAATGAAGTGGATGTAAGCAATTATAGACAACCGTACGGCCTTCGACAAGGAGAAAACCCCATATCGTATAGTCGGCTATAAAAGGCCCGACATAAAAAATATGAAACTAACAATTCAGTTGAGAAAACTAACGGCCTAATTTATAACAAAACAATTTACGAAAAACAAATATGACAGACATGAACCAACTGCAACCACTGAGCTACAAGCTCCTGACTTGGGACAGGCAAAATAAAGGATGCGGGGTTAAACATGTTTGTGAGCGCTCTACCCTCCCCTAACATGGGACAGTGGTGTAACAGCACAACATAAGAACAAACTATAAAAACCAGTTAAAAAAGGCTTAACTCATCAGATCGATACAAAGAAAAACATTTAACAAAAACACAGACAGGTTAGCCCTTTTTACCCAACGTTGTGACTATTTATCTACGTGATTTTCTAATTTCCTAGATGTTTTGGTATAAATGAAGATCCGTGTTTAACATATTCGAGACACCTTATTTTTGCGTTATTTCTCTACTCGCGAAAGTCGCATTTAAATAAATCGGTCGCGAAAATTAGCTGGTTTACAGTATTCCACTAGTCTAAGTACATTGTTTATACCATTAAGTTTTTTTTATATATTGCATGAAGTTTTTTCGTCTTTTTTTCGAGCCTAAAAGATTGATGAATTTGAAATGAATGTTAGTATAACCTTTCTTCAATCAGATTTCAAGTTGAAGTCTCTTAAATGGAAACATCTACCACCTTGTGCAGTCAAACAGTCTGTAATATTTCCAGACATAGTTGTAAAAGGAGACCCAGGATGCAGAGAGAAATTAAAACTGTGTTTTGAGGGTATTTCACATTTTACAATTGAATTGTGTGTAAACATGTATGTAAAAATCAATGCTGAATTCTGACGGTTCAGTTTCAAAAACTCTTTATCAGTTGAATTACCTTTTATTATTAATGGTTTAACAGGGGAAAATATCAATACATGAATGTAAATTCCTAACTTACTTGTGTTTCCATTGTAATTCATTGAAACAGAATAAAAGAAAGTATGTAGATATTGGAGAGAGAGAAAGTAATTAACTTAATCAAACAACTCCAAAATAAGCATTCAATTTCATATTTTAGATGTAAATTCAGAAAGACAGATGAAAGAGGAATTTGAAACTTATTTGGAAACTTTAGATGAAAACCAACAATCTCTTGCAACATTTTCAGGAGTTGCCATACCAAATGGTAAGTATGTTAAGTAATTTGGTTTTGGTATATGTTATATATAAACAAGTAAATCAGGGATCTCACTTATAAATATAAGAAATAAATTAATATCTTGTAAGAACTTCTAGTTATAATTAATAGATATTGTTTGTAGTTATGTCAAGCTTGTTTTTTTTGTCTTGTTTTTTCCGTATCAAAACATTTTGCAAAAATGCGACCATGCTGTTAACGGTTTAATATACTCTCAGTTTTTTTTCTACCGCTGCCGCAACCATCACGTCCAACACCAGCTTTAAGCGAAATTATTAAGAGCTGTAAATACGTGTTTAGCTCGTAAAATGGTTATACACAAGGACACATATACAAGACTTTGTTTTGAAAATGTCAGACACAATTGACACATAAAACATTATCTGATTTGTTACTTGCAGTTTGGGGACTACTTTTTTGAGATTGTTCTCATGTTCCGAGGTTTATCAACTTATGCTGGTTAACCATAGATCCAGTGTAACCTCCTGTAGCCATGCTAAAACCCGTTATTCTTCCGTCGACAAATTTGACAATATTTTATTATTAATGTATATACAAATCTAATGTTTGTGTAATGATAGTGATAAAAGATATACTTGAAAAAGATGATATCATATTATCGTATAGATAGACAAATAGTTAAGCACAACACAGTGTCGGTCTTTTTTCAAAATAAAATAATTCATTCTGCAATTTCTTTGTAGTCTTGTGTAATATGTTTAAGAAATCCTTTCCATGCAATGTTATTTTATTATTAAAGTTAACCTTGAGCAAATTTTGATTTATAGAAGGAAAATATCGATGCTTAGTCAAGTCTGTAGAGCATCCAGATGTTGTACTTGTGGCACCAGCAGAAATTGATATACGTAGGTTCATATATGTAACATTACTAAGGATTTTCAGTGGAAGTTCTATAAGGAATTTTCTATTTTGTTTTTCGATTTCAACAACCAGACCAATTTTTAATTATCTTAAAATGTAGAAATAGGGAGAAGTGATAATATTGAAGATGAGACACTTATCCAATGAAGACAAAAGGACAAAGATGTGTACAATTACAGGTCACCGTGCGGTCTTCAATGAGCAATACCAATGCCGTATAGAAAGCTATTTAAGGCCCCGGGATGACAAAATATATACTTAACATACAGGAACAATAAGCAAAATGGAATAATGGTAGACATTTACCGACGACAATCACTGGATTACAGGCTCATGTCTTGGCACAGACACACAACGAATGTGGCGGGGTCAAACATGCTCATAAGCGTTCAACCCTCTCCTAACCTGGGTCAGTAGTGTAACAAAACAACATAAGAATGAATTGTATAAATGAGTTGGAAAGTTCTTATTGTTTTACTTTTGTATGAAATGAATGTAAAAAAGAATAAAAATTCGTAAGGGTTCCGCGGAACCCAGTGTCTCGCCTACTTTTGGTGTTAATCGCAGGCTCAACAAAAATGAGGAAAAAAATTAATAAAAATATTCCTCTTTATACTATCTTTTGATTGTAAGTAGCTTCTGTCCAAGTTTGGTAAAAATCCAGTATAATTTATGAATCTAATAAATGTTTAAACTGCAGAATGTATGTAATGTTGACTGGAAGAAAAACTAAGTCCATTTATAAGTAAAATACGGAAAAAATGGAACAAAATTTTATCAAAATTTTCTTCTAGATACTAGCTTTTGATCATAAACAAGCTTTTGTCCAAGTATGGTACAAATCCAGGATAGTTTAAGAACGTTGTTAAAATTTTAAAAACTTTAACCACAGAGTGAATGTAATGTTAACTGGCAGAAAAACTAAGTCCATTTATAAGTAAAATACGGAAAAAATGGGTTTTTTTCCAAAATGTACTTTTGAATATAATCTTATAATCATAAACAAGCTTCTGTCCAAGTTTGGTAGAAATCTAGGATAGTTTAAGAAAGTTATTAATATTTCAAAAACTTTAACCACAGATTGAATATTTGTGGACGCCGCCGACGACGACGACGACAACGACGCCGACGACGACGACGCCGACGGAATGTAGGATCGCTATGTCTCGCTTTTTCGACAAAAGTCGAAGGCTCGAAAAAAAAGAAAAAAAAAACAGTCTATAGACTTTCAGTGAAAGTAAATATTTCTCATTCTAAAAAAAATCTTGTACTAGTAAACCATTTAATGGTTCAAAAAACTATGATTTTGACTTCTGTCTGGTTTGGTAGTTGTCATAATATATTGTTATATTGTTGTTAAAATATTGTTTCTATGCCTTTTCTTAGCTTTTGCAAGATTTCAAGGTTAAACAAGTATAAATGGCACCTTTAAAGATGTTATTTGTACTTTTCAGAGCCATCATCGAATTTATCGACAGAAATGCAAGACGCTTTTAGTGACATGGAACAAATGTTAGTAGACTTGCAGACAAATATGTAAATGTGCATCAAGTGATAAATTAGTCTTGTGTTTTATGTTTGTATGTGTTCAAAAATATATTATAAATAAAAATTAACAAATCTTGTTCGTTAATTAATTGCATAAAATAAATGGACATCGGTAAACCACTTAAGTTTTCATCATCGTTATAATACACCCTCAATACCTCTTTCATATATCCTACCAAGAACTGTTGTGTTAAGACAAGATTACAATGAACGAATATCAAAAAGTATGCCGTCATATATTTTAGAATTACACTAATGGTGACTTTTTTTTTTTAATTTGCACTCAGATAATACTCCATATCATTTCTGAAAAAGTACACACATCTTGCAATCATTTTTTATATAATTGTACCCCTGGAAATGAAGTTCAAGGGTCATATTATTTAGGGGTCGTACTGCATCTTCGTGGAAATTACATCCGGATCATATTGGGTTCGACTCAACAACCTTCGATTAAGAATAGCGAGTTGTTTAAACGACCCCCTATGACAAAAGTGAACGTCGTAATGGTCAATACATCTGGAAGTTTAATCATATTAATCTTTTTACATCATTATTTAATTGTTTAAATTTATCTCCAAGATTGCTCGCAAATCAAACATTAATTAGATTAGTGCCTGCCTGAATATTTTTTGGGACAACAGTAACTGCAGGTAACAATAAAATAAATACACCGTTATATTATTGTTACCTGCAATTTCCGTATGAAATCGGGTCCATGTCTGGAAATCATTTAGGCAACTAGTCTCGGAAGTAGTATTTCTTATTGTTTCTTTTTGTTGGTAATCGTAGACAGTAAAAACCAGACTTCAAAACTGTCGCAAACATCGGAAACTTCCGGGAACACTATTCATCTTGTCATCTTTTGTAGACTTGTTTGTATTTTTTGCCGCGTTATTGTTTTTCTTCAACTTATGGTTTGTGGGTGTCGCCTTGGATCTTTTGCCTCTTTTTGTAAATTTCTAAAGTTGATTGATAAAAACTGGGACTAATAGTTTCAATGTATTAGTTCCAGATTTAAACAGGAGTTTTCGGTTTTTGGCGTAACAAATTATAAGCCTGGTATCTTTCATGATTTTTTTCAACCACTATGTCGGTGCCACTGCTTGTGGGCGTTTCGTCCCGGGTGGTATCAGTCGGCAGTTTTGTGTTGACATGAAATATCAATGTAATGGTCACTTTCTGTAAATGTTCTGTTTGTACTTTTTTTATTTTTTGAAACAGTAAGGTTTTTCCACCACTGGTATAGATGACCTAGGCCTTTTGAAGCACAACTATTTAGAATGTTATTAGTTTTCAATGCTCTTCAAGTTCACATTTGATTTTACCCTGGTATCTTGATGAGTTTGTTTCCATACACGCAACATTACATTTTCCCAAATAATGTTTATGAATAAAGGACACAGTAGTTTACCGAGGTTCAAACCTCATAGATGGAAAAAAAATACAAATCAATGTAAAAACCAAACCTGAGGGACTCGCGTGAACTGAAAGGAGCGAGAGACCGGATGTGTTGACAAGGCAAGTGTTTCCTCTCATGTGAATCTACACTCAGTCCAAAATGTCTCAATTGTTAAAAGAACACAAAAGGTCTGTTACTTTGATGATGGTACTGGTTCAATATTGCATTATTCTAACTTGACAGTGGAATCACATGTTAAAAAAAAGCAGGCAAAATCTTGTCGTTTTCTGCTTCTTTTAATAACCTATGTCATACAAAAAATACAATAAATACATGTTTTCATAACATTTCTGTAAATAATCCATAATTAAGCTTTAACGATTTAATAAGCATTGAAGTAAAACACTTTCAACTTACATTCATACAAAACATAACATTAAATTTGTTTTGTACAATATCACCATACTAGAGAGTTACATAAGGTTAAAGATAAAATTCACAAAAAGATCAATAATGACTAGATCAAATTATACTGATATAATGTTGCTTATTGGTTTGTTTAAAAAGATATGTAAACAGATAGAAAGACTAAAATAAACAGTACAGAATATTTCATCTTCAACATTTTTTTTAATGGCCCTAGAATATCAATATGTAAAATGAAATGCATCATCCCTCCTACCTAATTAATACAATTTACAAATGCAGCTAAATTGTGCGACGGTGAACTCACTAAAAACAGTAAATATCCCAAGCATAAAATCAATTTGACAAATCTTAAACTAACTATAAAAATCTGCTTTGACCATGCACACATGGAGGCTGAAATAAGCAATTGTAAAAACGGAATACCCTTGGGAAAATTTAAAGTTTGTCCTGTTTACTTTTTATTCATACAAATGTTAATTAACGAGTGTGTACGTTAGCTTCCATTCATTTCTAAGAATCAGCAATAATTTCTGGGGTGCTCGGAAAATAAAGATTACAGTATGCACTGGTATTGCCAGGTTCACAACAAAGGGAAATTACAATGAATATTTACCAGGAGAAAACTGACTGCACAAGAATAACTAATCAGTACTTGTCCACTACAATTCAAAGAAATTAACACTGAAATATGTCTTCCTTAATCCAACACTTTTAATAAAATAACCTTTTACATTTCAAAACAATGCACCAGTCACTTTTAATAAATCAAAACCTTTGTAAAACAAATCTTTTAGAATGTGATGGTAACTTGAAATCTATTATTCGGACATGTAATGTATAATCGTATGCAATCAATGGTTCTGATTGAATAGCAACAAACGTAAAATCATTTTATCTACCTGTCTGTAACTAAGAAAAGCTGACATTTTGAATTCGGGAATGTACTGCCATTTCTTCAATAAGAAATAAAAAATACCTTTGTTATTTAATATGTTTAAACTGTACCCCAACAAAAGTAACCATAAAAGGGGATAATTAAAACAGGTTTTGCTGTAACCATATCATTTAATAGTAGAATTTAAGCTCATATTGAAGTAACACCGAAAATGTGAGCTCCAGTATTACAGCTAAAACATTATTTATTGATATGTTAAGTTTTAAAAAAACTTTTACCACGTAGCTTTAAAATGAACTAATACTTATCCTGAACTCTCTAATTATATTATGACAAATAAGACTTTTATAGATATAAGATAAATAAGACTGCTTATCATGTTTGCTTGAAACATTAAACCTTCTCTTAACTTTTTTCGAAGTTGGGGGAACTGTTATTCTATCTATTTCAGACACAGGAAGTGTGAAATATTTGCAATATTTGAGATTGAGTATATTTCATTATTTGCTAAAATTTCTAACATAATCACCATTTAGGTCCATATGAACATTCAAATTCAAATATAACGTTGGTTTTTTTAAACACTTGATTCAATAATAATTTCTTCAGTAAATCTTTAGGCTACTAAAAATGTCACTTCCGTGTATTTTATTACTAGCTTAAAATAAATCGAATATATAATGTGAGTAAATGTAAACTGATAGTTCATAGTACTTTAAAACCAACTATATGTCTTCAGTAAACAAATTTTCAAGACTGAAAAAATATGCAATTATGTTTATAAGACTGTTCATACTTCAAAACTACACTAGATACCAAAATCAGTAAAGTGCAGCAAATCCGCATTTCAGTATAACTATTACTCACAATTTGTACCAAAAAAGTATCAAATTTGAAAAGTAATTTTATCCAAAAATAAGGACAAAAATGCACAAACACTAATCAAGGAACAGCAATATGTGGGAGAAACTTAATTGAACAATTTTTTACATCTATTGTTCACTGAAAATAAAAGAGATATACATATTCATACAATATCTTTGTTACAACCTTTCTTTTCATTACTTCAACATATAGGTAAATAAACAAAATGCTATAAATTAGCTGACATTTATAAATAAAGAATAAGCATATCCAATGTATACATAAATAAAAATATAAATAAATAGACAATAATATCAAATAAGGAATGCTGAGAATTGTTGACTAAAATAAAAATAAAAAACCTTAACTTACTTGATAAATGATTAACAAATAACAATGATATGTTTCCCTCAACAATATTTAACAACAAAACTAAATAAACAAAACATGTGATATGTCTCTAAGGCATTCATACTATTATCAGATAATCTGGAATATGTTGAAATCTAAAAATTACAGATAAGTATTTACATTTTATCATTTTTTACCATGAACATCAAATGTAGCACCTTAAATTTAAGATTGAAAACTTTAAAAAAACAGATGTTAAAAGATATTATTCGTATGTTTCTCTGTCCTATATGTTCTCCCATTTATTTGCATTGTAGTCCTGTCATGTAATGTTGTCATTTTTATTTTATATTTAACATTGCCATAAAAGCGGGAGGTTTGGCTAGCCACAAAACCAGGTTCAAATCACCATTTTTTTCTTAAAATGTCCTGTTCCAAGTCAGGAAAATGGCCATTGTTATATTATAGTTCGTTTCTGTGTGTGTTACATTTCAATGTTGTGTTTCTGTTGTGTCGTAGTTCTCCTCTTATATTTGATGTGTTTCCCTCAGTTTGTAACCCATATTTGTTTTTTTCTCAATCGATTTATGAATTTCGAACAGCGGTATACTACTGTTGCCTTTATGAATAATTACATTATCAAAATTTAACAGAATTTTTGCTGTAATTCAAAGCTTGTTCAATGACCTCAACATTAAGTATACATGGCCTAAAATTTTATTAAAATCTTTTTAACATAATTAAATTCATTCATTTTAATGTTACATTTTCAGTTATTAGTCCTTAACATACAGAAATCAAATGTGTTAGTCTTTCTTCCTTTTTTCAGTGGATTTCAAAAACATACAAAGACAATTTGTTGCTACTAGACTACAGAAATATTGTTTTTAATTACTTCAGATTTTTTTTTAATATAAAAGTTTCCTTGCCATTTTTCTTTTCTAACAGTTGAATTTGTATCATACTCTTTTGAAATGAATAATATAGAAGTAAATCTACATGATTTACTGTTTGGATGGCATTTGATTTATACCTCTTAATAACCAAATAAAAAGCATATTTAACATTATTTATGATTTTAATCTATTGGAGCAAGGTAACTTCTTATGTTTCTCTAGCATAAATGAGACTG